AGCCAACGTTTGTTCTCCTGAATAGGACAATCCGACCATCTGTTACTAAACAACATATATTTTTATATGTAAAAACAGCAGTATTTTTCTAAGTCACCGGCAGTGTTAAACAACAAAACAGCTACAAGAAGGCCTATCGCAGGAACTGTCGTATAATGGTTAACCTTCAAAGCAGCCTATAAGGCTCAAGACAGAGAAACTGGACTGCCAAAGAGAACAGGAGCATAGAGAAGTTAGATCTTGCAGGAATATCCCCGCTGGGTTGCCTCCCTTTTCGAAGATGTAAAATATAGGTAAACACCCTTTCCCGCGAGAACACTGAAGTAAAATTTTGCCAAAGAAAGGTCTTTATACAATCTATAAAAATGGCGCTAAGAGAAACCAATTTTTCGAGACTTTCATGAAGATATCACTTTAGGATTTCTTCCACGCACTCATAACTTAGAAAGTGTCTGTTGCAAGGGACAGTGAACCGAGCAGAACTGCTGTTAAAACTACCAGGATACGCCGTGATTACAAGTTCTAACTAGGTATTTACCCGCTGGTCTATTGAACACAACCAGTATACGGTGCATGAAATGATGTGCAAGTTACGTTCTCTACACCACTGATCGATCTTGTGGTAAAATCACTCGAGTTTAGTGCTGTGAAGTATCTTGAACACTAAGTCGTACTATTCAAGCCTTTCTGCATTAGTGCGCACAATTTGATTTTATTCGAGTTGTCGCGGATACATAAACAGTGCCACGAAAAAATCGCACTGGCATGAAAATATAACCGATAGCGACCAATTTTCATGAAAAAATAGCCTTCTCTCTTTCGCGATAAGAAACCGTTCTGCTCTTCAAGACGCCGGAAAGGTTGGAAAGCTCACAATAGCTGAGAACACTGAGGCGCTCATGAACAGGAGGTTTTGTTGTGTGCCTTCTTGTATTGACTAAATTGCGAAAACGTAAGGAAAAAATGTAAAACATTACTGCTACATCGTCACTGAAACAACGCTAAGGACTTTGGTCCTCATCATCTCTTTTTACATGACGCAGCCAACGATTATTATAGGCCGAGTAAATCATGCTTCTCAAAGAAAAGATACGAAAGGACATACGTTATACTGAAAGCTAAAAAGATTTCGAGACAAACTATAGTAAATTGATAGTAACTGGTTTGTCGACTCTTTAAAGAGGAGTTTATGAATGAGCCATGGACAGATATCAAGGCTTTATCGGTGACCTCGGTCTCTATGCTTTTTTTGACGCCGCGCTTTTATAACCTTGCAATTCTTACCGATTGAAAAAATTTTTTGACTACAGCCTCATTCAATTCTAACAATTCATTTTTTGTTGAAATAATGGTGACATGTATGTAGGGCTAAATCGGTTAGATTTAGAAGAACGTAGTTCCTTATTTCCTCAACTGACTGCTCTAAAAGAAAAACTCCTTTTTGATCAAGAGTACCTCTTCATTCAGATCTAACAATGACTGCTTTTTGAAATAGTGTTTAAATTTCAGTACTACTCAGAGACTTCGAATAAGAAAAACACAGTTGCCTTAACTTTTTCTAGATGAAATCCTATTTTAGTCGCGAATTGCTCACACTCAACATGCTAAAAACTAACTGAAAGCAAATCCTGAGGAAAAAATCTCTGATTTCAACGAAGTTGAAAGTTTAGTTCAGTGATTAAAAAAATAGTTTCACAACAACTGAGTTGGACGATGAAAGTTTCGTAATTTTTTCTTTCGCAAGTGTATCCTTACCTTCGAAGTTAAAGTACATGTTTCATCGCCATGTGCTGTAGAATTTTTTAACTATTAAGAATTTAAGGAAAAACAAATTTTCATCCCTTTAAAGATGGAAAAGACTATTAACGCACACCAGGTAGTTTGGCAAGAGATATTAAATAACATGACGGGGGATTTTATAAATAATTTAGTCCAGTGGAAAGTCAAATTCATTTCGGTCTAATAATGAAGCTCAGTGAAATATTTGGATTAATTTTTACTTTCTAATTGCGGCTGTTGGAATGTTTGATATGCGGTAAGTTACTAGAATTGGAAAGTAACATTGCAATATTCATCAGTAACAAATACTGTAAAACGATAAAAATAGGAAATAACTGCTGTGAGATGTTTATAGCAACTTAGACACGGCACTAAATTTGTTTTCGCCTGGTGAGGAAACAGAACTTACAGCAGTTAAGGCATAAAGTTCATGTCTCTCTTGTATAATCACCTGTCTCTCCATGCTTATCGTCTTGAGGCTGACTCGTCCCCAGTCTCCCCCTAGTGGAGCTCAAAGCGCGTGCATCTTTTCTCCCGTCCCATTCCCCCCTGTTCCCGCCGTGCTCTTTAAGTGCGAAGACGACTGGGGACGAGTCAGGTCCAGGTGTGCTTGAAATTTGTTACAACTGGCCCGCAAGACCGGTCCGGTGGTATAACTAATTCCATTATTAATCACGACTATTCAGTCAGATCCGTCTGTTCATCAATGGTGTGTTCGGTAGTGGTGGGTTACCAGGAAAGTTTCGAGAAAAAAAAAACAACTAATATTTTGCTTTCAAAACGACCGGCCCGGCCCGGCCAGCCAGGTCTGACTTCTGGTAAGCGCTCTCTAAGTCTCCCTATCAGCTGAACAGAAAGTAAAGAGTTTGATCGACTTTAGGGGATACAGCTTACTTGAAATCCAGATTCTTGGGTCTAAAAAAATTAAAAGGGGTTCTCTGCTCACGTACGATAAGGAATACACCACCCTTTTTCTCAGCGAGTTTGAGGCTCCAGAAAATATCCACACCCAGCCCGTGGAATATCATTGGAAAAGCTAAGCGGTAGGGGGCGGGGGGGGGTTGAAGGAAAGTATAAGCTCTAATTCTAGAACAAAACATTTTGACTTTGGAACTCCTGAAAGATCTTGGATCCTTTATTCTTTACATCTGCAGTTTGTTACTAGGATGTATTTCTCAACATTTTTTATGGGCTCCTGACCCTTTCTAATTTCATTTCTTATTACGCCCCCACTTCGATTTTGTTAGTACTACTTTCTAGACAATAAAAGTTGTCGTTGTTGTTGTTGTGCTGTTGGAAGTGAGCAGGTGTAAAGGAAAAGAGCTGCAATACTTTAAGACAAGTTAGCAACATTATCTAATCTTATTTCATGGATAAATATTTAATCAATATTAATCAATAACAGCGAGTCGTACCTGGATAAAAAACCTCTGCTTCTCCTCTACTCAATGGCCTCTCCTTTTGGAATTCCTGGTTTATCCTCGCCGACCTAAAGAAACACAGTTTGTTAGAGGCCATGACAGTCAGTACAAAAACCAAGAGATATCATTTACGTATGTACACTTGTATAGCGTCATCTGGATCTCCCGAGCTCTTAAGACTAAGACTGCGGCCCAAGCCTCCCGAATTTTTATTTTGTAATGTTAAAATGCTAACAAATAATTAGTAACAAGTGAAAGTACTGCTGAAGAGGTTTCATTTAGCTTGTTCCAGGCGTTCAGATTGTGGGGACTGCGCATAAAGATATACTATCTAAAAGCCTGGAACAGGCCAAAAGATTTCATTCAAATGGTCATTCTCACTTTAAGATTTCATCCAGGCAAAGACTAAGGGCCTGTTTACATGAAGGCGGGCGACCCCAGGTAGGTGAGGAAGCCTGCTTAGGTGGGGTAACCCACCTGTCCATATAATCTCTCATTTCAATTTGATTACGTTTACATGATAGGTGGGGTGACCGTATGAGAGAGTATATGGAGAGGCGGGTTACTTCACCTACCTGGGGTCCCCCACCTCCAGGTAAACAGGCTCTAAGTACATATAAATTAAAATAACTTGTACCACCTGAGCGTACTGCTGAAGAGGTTTGATTTGATTGAGTTTCGTCCACGGACTCAGAAGATAGTACTCTTATTGATGACGTCAGGGTAATCTTTCTGGCCAGGAGGATAAAAAGGCCCAAGCGGGAAGTTTAGCAGGAAATCGGACATTCTTCTTCCTGTAGACTGCTCTTCACCCTGTCGTTGCTGTGGATTATTCCTTGCAGTCATTCGCGAAAGATGAAGCGTAGCTTGAAAACGTTTACCTCCCAGTCTCCAAAGTCCAGTGGATAAAACGTCAGCAGTGGGTTGAAGTGTCTGCTTCTGTTTAAAAGCTGTTTCAATTAATCAGCAAGTCATTTTAGTAGCTACGAGTAGGTCTGTTCAAGGGGCAAGACCTTGCTCAAAATTTAAGCATAAAGTTCTCTCGCGATTGAAAGTTAGGACTCTGTGGTAAAATTCAAGACTATTCAAACTAGGTGAACGTTTCACTACAACACCAAGAAATAGCGAAATAATTTGCCTTGAACTTTAAGATCTGTGGACGAAATCATCCTATGGAGTTGACAGATAATCTGCAAAGTACTATTTATTTCTTAGGATCTTAAAATGGCCGGCATGCACCTCACGTCAAGAGCATGAGACAGAAAAGGTCCAGATTACAGGTGGGAATCGATTTCATGACCTTCAGGGACCCATTTTGAGGCTTCAACCACAGACCTACGGAGAGATGTACGACGACTTGTCTGCGGCTGTAGGCCATTGACTAGGTTCATTTATGAGATGCGTCGTGCATACTGTTAGTAGTGTGGACAGTCAAACAATCTTACATGCAGTAGTTACCTGCGCATTTTAAGCTCCGCGACATAAAATGAAATCTTCAAAACAGGAAAAAGTAAAAGTTCCTTTATTGTCAAATCCCGTTGACTTTGTCTTAGCAAAACAAGGAAGCTTTGGGCTATTGAATAATCACTGTGTAAATACGACCTACATGTACAAGAGTCTTGTAATTATACAACGCTAAGTAGTGTCATTTAAGTTCATCAAATCCTTTCCTGCAAACGCGTACAGCACGTTCAATTTCAAAAGTTCTTCACCCATTTTTTTTATTAAATACACTTATGTTATCCGAGTTTTCATTTGTATTCACACAGGTTCAGTAAAGCGAGTGTATTATTAGTGAACTTAGGCTGCTTGTTGTTGTTTCAGAAGGCGTTTCTTCTTGAGGCTCTCTGGTTCCTCGGGGGGTGGGGGACGGGGGAGACGGAAAAAGACCTTGACGGAGTCGTAGATGAACCACTGCAGAGCTGTGAGGGTACCGATCATGATGATACGCGGTCCTAGACCCTTCCATAAACCTACAAAAACATGTAAATGATTCAACACATGCAGTAGCAGATATTATTGCAAACACCAAAAAGAGTGTTGCATCCAATATTCAAACACTGACAAGACATACATTAAAAATGAGAAGGAGTGTTTCCTCCAATATTCAAACACTGACAAGTGATACATTAAACACGGGAGAACGTGTTTCATCCAATTTTCAAACACTAGGAGGAATACCTTAAACATGAGAGAACGTGTTTATCCAACATTCAACCCTGATGACTGATACATTAAACAATTTCCAGTTTCTAAACTTGCTTTAAAGTATAGCAATCCCTTGTTATTTCTATGAGTTTCTGTGAAACAAGTTTTACCAGTAGCTAATACTCACCTTTCATTCCCAGCTCACGTGCAGCTTGGATGGGAGTGCTGCCGACATCATTATTCAGCTTGGACACCACAGTGTCGGCAGGATGAGACACAACAGCACAGAATACACCAGCTGTGACATGAACAAGGAATTAAAAGTAATAAGCATGGGCAAGGATTTCTAAGAAAAATTCTAAGGAGCACCCAAAGAGGTACAGCTGTAAGCAGTGAGGAGATTAAAAGAGGTTAACCCCTTTTAAGGCTCAAAATTGATCAAAATCAAATTTCTCATAACAATATCAAATTATATAGTACATTGTATAATCAACAGAAAAAGTTATGGGAATTTATAAACCTACAGGGAAATGTTTTGTTCACTTATCAAATTCTCTTTACTAATTCTAGAAGGATGGAGGACAGCCTGGAGAATTTGTCCTCAAGGGGTTAAAACAAGAATGGGTGCATCTGTTAGGGGAGTAGAGGTGTATCAGAAATTTGTTCATTTAAGTGTCTAATGCTGCCAAGTGCTGCAACTATGGAATAGAGAATGGAACCAAGCTTATTTTTTCTAAAAAGGAATGATTTACAGACTTCAGAATGTAACTTGCTTACCAATGTAACCTGCAGCAAATGTAACAACCAACTGCTCGGGCTTGCTGCATTCACTCCTAAAATCAGAAAACACCCATGTTGAAAATCACGTTTCATTCTTGTTGCCATATGATTTGTTTGCTACCAGATAGACATATGTACACACATCCTGGAAGAAGGGGGGGGGGGTGGTGGGCATTTCCTTTATTAGCCCACATGGGGAGACATGGGTACCATGGGCACCACTAACAAGGTACATGTAGGGTTTTCAAGGTCTAGAGTCTTAAAAAGGGTACACAATTTCACTCTTCAACATTGTGAACAGAGAGACAATCATCTCTCAAGACAAGACACTTGTCTCGCGAGAAAGAAGATGAGGCTGGTGATTCACTTTTGAGCAGTACTGTACTCTAAGACTCATACTTCATGAAGATGGGACTGTTATCTCTGTGGTCATCTGAGCCACACAAAGTTCTAGCCATTTGTAGAGCAAAGGCAGTGCCTTCTTCCTCAATTTGCTTTAAGACCCTAAGTATTTGTCAGGTCTCAGAAATCAACCAGTCACCTACTACTGAGCTAGCCTGAGAAAACAGCCGAAATTTGGCAACTCTACCACCATTTAATGACGTCTGAGAAACGAGCGCAGAAATTCTATACTGATGACGCATCACTACCCACATCTGGGTAGTGCTTCTGATTGGTCGTGCCGAATGGGAAATTTGATTCAACCAACCAGAAGCACTACCCAGATCTGGGTAGTGATGCATCATCAGTATGGAATTTCTGCACTTGTTTCTCAGACGTCATTTGGCGGGGAAAACAGTGGTAGCATCGCCAATCGTTTCTCAGGCTACTACTAAGCTAATCCTGATTTAATAGCTCAAACGAGGGTTATCTGCATTATTATTCTTAGGCTATGCTCACACGACACTGGGTAGCTATTGCGCAAGCGCAAAAACCATACTGGGTACCCTTAAAGTGGAGAGTCAAATGTCAGATAGGTGTTCATACTACAGGTATACCAGGTAGCTTTTTTGTGCTGACCTGAACAGTTATTGGGTATAGCGTGAATAAAGCCTTATTTACAGTTACCATAATTATATTGAAACTATGTTTTATACATGTCACCATAAACAATGGGTTACTGACCTTGGCTTAGGTACAACATTTTTGTACAGAAATTCAACTGTTCGCTCAAAGCAGGCAAACTTCATCATGGTGTATGGGATTTGTCTCATCCACAAAGGAGGAAGGCCTTTGTAAAATCTAGAAAAAGACAATAAATAGAAAAACATATTAAACAAAACCATTCAATTATCAAACCAGACTGGTAGCAAAATAGCTTGCCATTGTGAAGTGCAATTAGTGCACATATTAGAGGAGCATCTGTCATTAGAACAGGATGATAATGAAGAAATGAGTACACTGTCACCATATCCTCCTCTTGTTTTAAAAGCAAACACAAAGCAATGTGAAAAGAGAATCTAGCTGTTTTCCTAAAGGGAGTTTTTTGGTGACCTCTCAGCTTCTGTGCACGTAATTGCTAGTGGCATTAATTTTAGTAACAACATACCCACGTATTCCTTCTTCTGCCCAGAGTTTAGGCACTCCCTCACGCAGATTGTTGGCCCACCCAGGTTGGGTTTGAATACGAACTTTGACAGCTTCCATAGGTGATAGCGCGATGTCTGCAAAGAACTCAGCACTGGCTGAAGCAGCTAAGTACAGTGATGTTCGGAAGAGGTATGAATTTTCCTAAAAAATAACACAACAAACAGGAATTACCATGTGTCACAAAAGTTTTGCGGATTTTTTTGTAGATTGGCAATTTTTTGTGTTTTGCAGGAACTAATTTTTGTGATAAGGACAGATTGGTTTTCCTTGCTGTAATTAAATTTTTGCAATTTTCAGAGAACTTACCTCGCCTATCATATTACTGTAAAGGATCTTGAAAACTTCATAGAAACCAAATTTGCAGAGACCCTGCATCGAGTAACCAATGAAAGTGGGTGCCCAGCCTTTGGCCAGACCTCGAGCTCCATCTTCCTTCACGGTGACTTTAAAACCATTCATAATGTTTTTGTATTTTCCTGGGTCTACCTGTAAAGTGAAACAAAATCTTTCAACCATCCAAAATTTAAACGACAATTCCTGCCGTTGAATTTGTAATTAGGTCTCCCTAGAGTATCCCTGATAAGCAGATACAAGGTTGCATAAAAAAACTCTCCTATTGTTGGGGGAAAATTGATGTTTATCACTCTTGGGACTTAACGGGCTAAGATAACCATGTCCATGGGTAACTGACCAGGGCCCAGTTGTTCGAAGGCCAATTAGCGTTAACCCGGGGTAAAATTTTAATCCGGATTTCTTTTTCTTTAGTTCAAAAGGCTGCATTTTTTCGGGTAATTTTCTCTATTCTTTTTAGAGCACCCAATCATCGACTTGTAGACAAAAAGAATTAAACCGAATTTGCTTCTTAAGCATTCATATCTGAATTCAAATTTTGCTCTAACCCTGGGTTATCTTAACCCAGCTTTGAACAACCCGGCCCAGTACTTTCTTTAAGATGGCCAATACCATGAGTAATTTAGCTGCATAATCTGACAACAGAAATAATGTATTCTACCATCTCAATTTTCTGAAGGAACCTCTTCTTACTTGGTAACTTTTGAAGCAACTTCTGTTGTTAGAATTTGCTGCAATCTTACAGACTTATGCATATACATTGTCTTTTTTTGAAAGACAATGATAATATAATTGACATGGATCAAGAGCAGTACACGTATTTCTCACACACAACTGGGTACCATTCCAAGCCAAACATGCAGCCCGACCTTTAGTATCAACACCACAATTTACTAGTATTACAGCACAAAAAGAGCTAATAAATGGCTGACAAGAAACTTGAGACTAGATACAAGAAAAAAAGCAGTACAGCACTACTTCAAATCCTAAAACAACCCAAAAAACACATGAAGGGCAGTTGGGCAGGGCAGGTCAGGCCAGGCAATGGTGGATGGCAACAAAAACAAACTGAACTGAAGACACCACCACCCTTAAACGCATACTCCCAGCCGTGTGTTAGAAAAATGTTTTTCCACTTCTTTAATTCCTCAGCCAGCAGAAAACCACACTTACCTGAATTCTGCACTTGACCAAATCAAGAGGCACAACAGCTGTATGTGTGAGACCACAGCTGAGGATTCCGCCAAATCCACAGTATGCATAATACGTTGAACTTCCAAACTCACAACTGTACTGTTCTCCTAAAAAGAATGCAGTAAAACAGTGGTTTCATCAGTGCTCAAAAAAAAGTCTTGTCCAGTAGTCCAAGACAAGTGTATTTTCTTGCTGGGCAAGTAACTTTCAAAGCTTACCGAGGGTTTCCACTTACAAGAGCTTCCTCTGTAGGAACAAAGGCACTTCCTCACTGTTCAGTACCCTACACCTTTCTTGTGAAGTGCGATTGGGGTTTTTAGTTTTTATTCATTATTGATTCTAATAACGCATCCCTAAACAATTTTTATGTGCACATGAAAGAGATTTTGAAAGAAGATTAGAAAAGTGGAGGAGGCTGATTATAAAAGGCGACACACACCAAGGAAAAAACAACAGTGCTGCAGTTTGTGTTGGGATCTCCCTGATGGCACACAATTCTTTGTTTTTTGTTCACAGATTGTGACAATAAATTAATGCAACATTTTATTGGCCAGTATGATAAATATAATAAGAATGCTACCAGTGACTGAGGAGTCTGATGGGCTTCATAACCATTCCACTCAAAACAATGAGATTTCAAGGGAAATGAGAAGTAACCCATGGAGTGTAAACAATTAAGTTGATATGAATCATTAACCAGTAAATTAATTTTTCAATTTTCCGTGAAGAGTGAAATTCTTGATTTTTACATGAACATGAAGACATTTTAGGAATTATTTGTGACACATGAAAAATCTCGATAATTTTCCGTAAAAGATTTTTTGCAAAAGGGTAAAGAGACCCTAGCCTTCGAAACCAGTCATTTCTCCTTGCTCCTTGCCACTAGGGACTTTGCGTCTCAGCGACAGAAATTCCATACTGATTAAGTAAACATTGATTTTACATTACCAGTATGTAATTTCTGTTGCTGAGGTGCAGATCTCTCCTTGCGAAATGCCCCTAGCGGAAAGCAGGGTATTCAATAAGAGCCGGTGCCTGGGCGAAATTCACTGGCTATTTCAAATGAACTTGCTGCCTACTTTTCTTTGCAGTTACCCCAGTTTTTACACATAACATGATTTAAAACAGATACTGAAACAACCAATGGTTCATAGCTATTGGCAATAAGAGATAAATTTAAAAAATAGAGTATTTATGTGCTGTCACTGAATAAAAAAGCCAAAACTTAATGATGTCTGTGTTCTGTTCAAAAACTCTAATTTTTGCTGCATAATGCTTAAAATACATTCCAAGAAGCCCAGATTTCAAAATTTTACCAGGGGGGCATGCCCCCTGACCCCCCTAGAAGCTCGTGAAGGTGCAAGTTTTTTCCATCTCCACCTACTCCAAAGCTTTTGCCACCTAATAAAACCTTAATGAAAACCCTCGAAGGAAGGGAGGAGAGATAGCTGTTTTCACAGGCTAAGGGGACCCCAATTCCCCACCTACTAAATGCATGTACCTGGTAACTTGAAATTTTGCCAACTATAGAGCCCTGACATTTAAGGACCAAAAATAAAATTTAAAAAATCTTAAATGATCAAAAGTGTAACATTTTTCAACAACTTGCAAACATTCATCTTAAATTATGACTGTTCAAAATAGGGGGAGCGTTTTTGATATCTACATTTCCTATTTCAAGGCCAAAGTCCAGATAGATTAACTCTATATCATACACGTTATAAAAAAGTGGCGTAAACACGTGAACTAAAACATATTTGTTGCGTAGTTTCCCTGAAATTACGTAGGGGGAAGTCCGGTTACTTGCAATCACACATGCACACAAAAAATAATTCTCTTTGAAGACTTTGACCCAATAAACGTACACTACAACGATCAAACTCCAAGAAAGAAAACCAAAAACTACACAGTATTGCACACCAAGAATAAAGCACTGACGTTACAAATATATTAGCCTGCCGAGGTAATTCTTGTGTGGATCTACTCTGCTCACGTGGATGGAGCCGTCGTTCGATCATCGAATATTAACTGTTGGCCACTAAGAGATGCGTTTCAAACAAGCAGATAACTCTTATCTTACCCAAACCATATCTCTTAAAACAAATAGATGGTTATAAGTCGAAAGAATAACTTTCTTTTAACGATCAAGAGATAAACTACACCCTACAATCGAAAAATGCCGGTTCTCCAACTTACCTCCTTCGATATTCGGTGCCGCCATGATTCGGCTAGATCGATCTTGGGTTGTTGGCTCCGGTGAACATTTTGCTACACTAAAGGGAGCAGCAAACGGGCTGTTCTTCGCTGTTTCTGAAAACCTTGAGAACATTTCAATTTTTTGACTAATAACGACACAAACTGGTGAAAAAATTCAGTGCGCTTCGAGGTCGAACGCCTCGTCAATTTCCACGCTAAGAGGAAGCCGATGATGAATTATGGGAACTACGTAACATTGCTAATTGTTCAGCTGACTGCGCATAAGTTTTGTGCATAGCCGCTGTCTTTATATCTGCTGTTTCAAATTATCGCAGGAAACGTGGCGGCCGTAGGCTTATAAATTGAGAATTTCCAACCGCTCATAGCAAAAAGGTTAACTGTAAAGTTTTCTCTGTTTTCTAGCCAAAAGTTTGCCTGGCCATGCCCTACTGTCAATATTGTTTCATGGGATGTCACGTGACTTGTCACGTGGCTTATGGAGTATATTTGTTGTCGCTGAGAGAGCTGAAAAACGGAAAAAACCGTAACGGAAAGAAATCAACCAAAGAAAAGCCAAAACCTTTTGAGACCCTATTGTGAAGCATTTGTTAACGTCCAAAACGAGTAGCAACATTAGTCCTAGCCTGCGTAGCATGGCGGTTTTGGTTGAGCGCGTTAAGTAATAAAGGCGGGCGAGGGCAGAGAAACCGCGAGGAGATTGGGGCGGGAGCAATTTTTATTTTTCTCGCGGCTTTGCCGCTCGTGCGCACGGCTCGATAATACCGCCATGCTAGGCATGCTACATAAGTCCCCGGAACATAATTTATACCACAAAGATGACTGGTCATCATAGTTAGCTTCTTCTTTCCTTCAAGTCTTCCGTCCTATTCGAAAGGTTTAGTAATGGTTGCGGACATCTAACAAAGACGCGGGGAAGTTGTTAATCAGTACATGTAGAGTGTTAAAAAGTCCAGATGCATTGAAGGCAAGCCGGATAAAAGCCATCCATGTTAAGGGGGTGAGGCTGGGGCGAGTTGGAGACGGGCGGGATGGGCGGGATAACATAGGTGCTCGTCCGCTGATATTACCCGCGTCCGTAAATGAGGAACTGGGGAGAGGGAAAGTGGAGGGCTTCCTTTCATTTTCCCACTCCCCCTCTTCCATTTTTTTCCCGACGTCTTCCTCGCAATTTTTACTTCCTACTCCCCAAAGAGGAAGCTTGTTAGCAGGCTACCAAGGTATCTCTCACTGACAGCTTTCTAACGACCATGAGAGGTACCAATACACACCCAACCAACCCTTACAGCTGAGACGACTCTTGTCATTTTTACAAGTCCGCCAGGGAGCCAATGTTGGGTACGTTTAGTTTCTTGAGTGACTTGAGTGTTTCCCATGCCAGTTAGGTCTGGATATTTAAACATAATAAGATATGGAATGCTTAATTCAAGGTGACGATTTTTCGCGGGAAAAGTTGTACTGCCCACTACGAAACCGTCTCGAAAACTTTCTACTTGTAGTTTCTAATCAGCGCATTCTCTCTTGAAAACATTGAGTGTCTGATTCGATGGCCACTGAAATCAACAGCAATCCGAGATACTTAAACTATGGAGAGCTTAACTTGCTGACCCACCCTGGCCTGGGTACCAGAGGCTTTTTTTCCCGTGCGGTGAGGAGCTTACGTCTGCCGAAGGCCGAAGGCACGAGTGGTGTGCAGGAAAAGCCTCTGGGACCCAGGGTATTGCTGGCCAGCGGCCTCACCTTTAGAGGGCGGTGGTCTTCGTTGACCAAAATCTAGGGTCATGCAGCAGCTTTCCTAACCCTAAAAGCCGAATGGTTCGATACCCTAACCGTAAAACAATGGGAAATAATGATAAACAATGATCTGTTATTGTTTTCTGCGACGGGTATCTACCCCACGTGCAGACGTCCCCTCCCTTTTTCCTTTGTTGCACGTCTGCACGCAAGCTAGCCCAAAAGGCCTTTCCCCTGAAAAACCGCATCTCAACACTAATAATGAACAGTGTCTACACATTTTCTTTTCTCCCAGTCGTTTATTTGTAATTTTTTCTACACTGGTACACTACTTGACTATCCTACCCACACTATTATCCATAACCTGTAGGTCACGCACATCAACCTGCATCATCACAAAAGACGACCAATTTATTTGTCATCCTTCATAACTATTTTTTTTTTGCTTTGTTGTTTTTTTGTTTTTTTATCTTGTCATCCTTGCGGACTCTTGAAAAAAGTTCCGCTATATTGAAAAACACGCGCACACCTCGACCTGTATGCTTGTTTGTTTTCTCTTCTTCTTTTTCTTCAGTATTTTTGTTTTGTTTTTGCTTTCGCCAAACGTATTACACATCATTCATTTTGGCCATCACATAATGTACCACACTAGCTCCATGGTGTGGTATTAGCTTAACTTTCACGAACATTTAGAGACTGTGAAGGTTAATAACAAACTGTTCCCTGCATTTGGGGATAAGAGGGAGTTCCCGCACAAAGCTCTATAGCCAACACTGGAATTGCTACCACGTGCTTGCTTCCCTTGTACTGGAGATAGGAACGCCTTTTTCGTAACTTCAGTTGCTCTCTGAGTAGGATCAGCTTTTTCATTGTTACTGGCTCTTAGTGCACCAAACCAATCCGGCGGCAACTGTTGGGCAAAAAAAAAACTTTAGCCTCTGATCAAAGGTATTGAAATGACTATTTTATTTATTATGACGTTTGGAAGCTTAATTAAAAATCACTAGATGCAAACGTATTTTATCAGCACTGTTATAGCTTGTTTCGAAGAGCTTTCTTTATTCCAGTCTCACTCCTACGCAAAAGCTTCTTTGTGTCGTAGGGGGGCTGGGGAGAGGGAAAAAGATATTTGATATTCCTATTTTTATTGGAAAACCCAGTGGTAGCCTCTAGGGAAGGGAGGGTTTCAGTTATAAGCCCCCTGGATATAACTCCCCCTGGGGAAATAATCCCCCCGGATGTAAGCTCCCACCCCCGGATATAAGCCCCCTGGATATGAGCCCCCCCAGGAGGGGGGGTTAACAGGGTTAACAGTCATACGACAAAACTGATCAAAATAGAGCTAAAGAAGCTAGAGCATTGCACTTGACACTGAAAAAATAAACAAAAAATTACCAGTAACAGGAAAGGCAGGGCTGCAGGGTCTTGGTTTCCATAAGCCATAGTCTTGGGTAGATTGGTTCACAAACTGTGTCCCATCCAAGTCAAGTTCCTTTCCTGGCCTGTCGTGACCATACTCTTTTTTGTTTGTTTACTTGTTTAATTTTTTCTCAGTTTTGTGTTTTTTTTAGATAGTTTTTCAATTAATTTTTAAATTTTTATTTATTTATTTATTTTTTGTTTTGTTTTTTTTTTCCTTCTTTTGTGGGATGGAAAGCTGTCACGACAGGTCTGATCTTGTAGAGCCTGCAAAAAAGTAAAACTTTGAGTAAGAACAGAGGGTACGAAACCAAGGTGGTCAAAGATGCTTGCTTACATATCTAAGATTGTACCTTAATAAAAAATGTTGCTCAAACAGGAAGACTGTGGTCAATGCATTTTAGAAATCAGCCAACCTGTATAGTGAATCCCACTTCTAATGAGGCATGACAGTTTTGTAAATACATGCAAGACACTGCATGTTCTAAACCTTCCATATTTCATAACTGAAGAAGTATTAAATGTTCAGTTAACTCTCTTTAAGTTTGGGACTGGTACTAAGTGTCTGTGTAAGAATGATGTCTGTCTTATAGAGAGTCAATTAAAGGGATCGAGATAAAAAGGCTACCACCAAATATTTGTGTCCATTTTACTGAGGGGTCCATCTCATAGAGGGTGCCGCTGTCAGGTTGGTAATTGTTTGGATCTTAAGTTTGAACTTAAATGTCAAAGAAAAGAAAAAAGGAATAAATCTTCACTTGGGAACACCTTGCCATCTTAATTGGTAACACCCCTTCCAGCTTCAAATTAACAATAATGCAGCCCTGTGTGAAAAACATTAGAAATCGACCCTTACCTTATTAAATAATATTACTCTGGCTTTGCCTTGCTTCCAAAGCAACATGAAATTGATGGCAAACATCGTCTGATCCAAGAGGGCTTGATTTCATTTCTTATCTTCTCAGTTTTGTTAGTATTGCGTCTGAATTTAGATTTTAGAGTTGACCACAGTCTCCTTGTCATCTGTGAAAATCAAAATAAAGCAGACTTAAACAGAAAACTGATAAGTACACCCACGCATAGCCTACTCAGCACCCACAGTCAGTGACTGTTGAGTGCAAAACATGACAAGAACATGCCCTGACTTCTTAAAGCTAATGTAAGTACACACACATTACAACTTATACGAAAAAGTACAAATAGGACTGTTCAAAGTCGAGCCAATAACATCATAAGCTGATAAACTGAAACTAATCTTCCTTAACCCAGCCCCAGGAGTTACCAAATTGATAGGTGCTACAGGCTATGATAAATCCTAAGTTGTCCTATAAAGTAATATTAAGGTGTAAGTTACACTGATCTCAATCCACTTACCATTATGGATTTCCGCATTTTTATTTCTGCCACTGGTTCACTTTTTACGGGATCGGCCCCAACATCTAGGAACAAAAGAAATTAAACCTCAGAAGTTCTTGAAATAAATTTCATATGCCAAGGTAAAAAAAAAATGCTGGAAAGAGAGAAAGAGGAAGAATAAAGAGACCATAACTGCAAACCGTGACATTAGAACTTGGGTCAATTGATGGATTAACGTTGACAATTTCTGTGCTCGACCCCCTTTTCCCTGGCCCTTTCAATGTTGGCCTCGAACTAGGGAGAAAAAGCCTTACCTTCATTTAACTTTTCATCAGACTCTGTAAGCTTGACTTCCAAAACCTATTGTTAAAGAAAAAACAGTACAAAAATACTTATTATTATGTCATACTAAGCCACTACTTGAAATACCATTTTTCCATCAGTGCTCCCCCTCACTGATACAATATCAAGGCCTTTCTGTATCAATTCTTGCCCCTAGAGCACTGCCTTTATGAAGCTACAGCATGCCTGCTTTTACAGGCCCTCAGTATATAAAGAAGAACATTTTCTGATTCACTAAAGAAGTGATAATTATTACTTTTTCAAATAAATAAGTAGTATTATCTTGTCAATTCTCATTATGCTGTAATAATTAAAAGCTCTTCATTTAGAGATGGAAGATCCTTTAGTATATGCTGGTTGCTTTAGTACAGTTTCTCATGTAGTCACATACTTTTTCAGGATCTTCATGTGTAATGCTTTGATTCTTTTGGTGCAATTCTTGGCCATCATGGTGCACTTCACGGCCATCACTGTCATTGTTTTGGTGCACTTCATGGCCATCACTGTTGGTGTTTTGGTGCACTTCATGGCCATCACTGTCGGTGTTTTGGTGCACTTTTTGGCCATCACTGTCATTGTTTTGGTGCACTTTTTGGCCATCACTGTCATTGTTTTGGTGCACTTCATGGCCATCACTGTCGGTGTTTTGGTGCACTTCATGGCCATCACTGTCGGTGTTTTGGTGCACTTTTTGGCCATCACTGTCATTGTTTTGGTGCACTTTTTGGCCATCATTGTCATTGTTTTGGTGCACTTCTGGGCCATCACTGTCTTTGTTTTGGTGCACTTTTTGGCCATCACTGTCATTGTTTTGGTGCACTTTTTGGCCATCACTGTCATTGTTTTGGTGCACTTTTGGGCCATCACTGTCTTTGTTTTGGTGCACTTTTTGGCCATCACTGTCATTGTTTTGGTGCACTTTTTGGCCATCACTGTCATTGTTTTGGTGCACTTTCTGGCCATCACTGTTGTTGGTTTGGTGCACTTCTTGGCCATCACCGCCATTGTTTTGGTGCACTTCATGGCCATCACTGTCGGTGTTTTGGTGCACTTCATGGCCATCACTGTCGGTGTTTTGGTGCACTTCATGGCCATCACTTCCCTTGTTTTGGTGCACTTCCTGTCTTTTGCATCCAAAAACTTCTCCTTTCTCCTCGTCACTTTGCTGCTGTTCCTAAAAGAAATAAAAGAGAAAAATAAAAATACCCTCAGAAATTAATGTGAGGGTAAAAGTGAGTCCCTTGGGATTATAGTAAAAGCGTCAGTGTCCAACCTCCAAGTGGAAAGGGATTTCAAGTTTGTTATCATTTTTTGCCTCAGTTACTTTAACATCTATGTTCCCTCATGTACTTAGTTTGAAAAGGAAACATTTACTGACAGACAGAGAAAAATACTATAAAACCAAGTTCATTAACACGTGGACCTTATCTTTGCCTTGAAAATGTGCCCCATAAAGATACAGATGGCTTCAGTTTCTAACTCTTGGGTGTATCTAATAGAGCCTTTCATGTTCAGTTAACTCAAATGAATCACTTACCATTTTAACCAGCGGCTCGTAGTGAAGGCTCGCCAGCAACAAGAGTAAACTGCCATCATGAACATCTGTCTTATTTAATCTGTCTGGAGTCACAACATGAATGTAAGGAACTTTATTACAACCTTCTGTAACCACTTTGCACGGAAGACCTGTAAGGTTTGATAACCCGTAGATAACTAAGTCTCCAATTTCACTGTTAAATGCGCCACAAACGCAATATTTGACCAGTTGGATTTGCCAGCCCTCAAGCATGAACGGAGAATAGAAGCTTTCATGTTCAGTAAACTCACGCATCAGAGCAGAAAGAAGATCTCGGTAGCTCTCGTACGTGTTAATGCCCTCCTCCTGCATGGCCTGAAGGAGAAACATTAATGCATCAACTTACATTAATTACCTTGAAAAAAGTCTTTTGTCCGCCACTCACCAGGAAACTTGTGAGGTTGACTTGTGACATAGAATAGGACTAGTCCCTCATTTTTCCCCAGGGACAGTAGAACAAACAAAACGTGAACACACGTGAAAATCATCCCATGCGAGAAAAGCGAGATGCGGCGGTGAAAGAGCAGGCAATTCTCACATTGGGTGATTTTCACATGTCCCTGAGGAACAATGAGGGACTACTCATAGTCTACTTGCAGCAAGTCTAGGTAAATGTGTATGAGCAACATTTTGCGTGCAAATAAAAGTCATTGAGTCCCCTGTTCTCAGGTCAAAGTGAAAGGTGAACTTAACCTCAACATAAGTTACTGTCATCCTCAATCTGCATAAATTATTCAGATCATACTTGGCCTCATAAAAGACGAGGCTTATTCACAAAATTAATATTTCAAAATATTTAGCCTATTTATACCGGTAAAACGTAATTTACATGTCTTAAATTATTTAACAATTTCTGAATGAGACTGGGTATGACAAAATACTTCTTCCTCAGTTAGTCTAACCAACCTTCTAACCTCCTCAACGTTGATCAAAACCAAGAAATGTTAAGGACCAAGAAGAAACAGATGTTTTTTTGAATTTCATTCAATCTTCAGTAAAACTACTGTAGGTTGCCGCGCCTGCTGCATAAAAACGAGACCAACCTCGTCCCCAGGGCGCTTTTCCTTGGGAAAAGCGCCCTGGGGACCTGGGGACGAGGTTCAAACGAGAACGGGGATAAGATCGGGGAGGGCTGGGGGTGGATGGATGCAGGGCTGGGGGCTTGGTTGGGGAAGGGATTTTATGAACGATATAAAAATATGTAGTCGCAAGCTCAAATTTAATGTATGAAATCATTTACAAAACAGGCACCGGAAGCAAAGCCCACACTTATCAGAGAGTTCGAGTCCAATTTGTTGCGATGCCCCTGGGCAAAGTCTCCACGTATCCCAGGATCAGGGAACCCAGGATCAGACGGGGGTCCATTTGCCCTAGGGAAGCCGATGAATAAGGCTTTTGTTACTTTTTGGGGACCGTAGCTAGCTTCAAGAGCAAAAAACTAACTGAATGCACGAGCAAAATGAAGAGTTTACGAGACAACAAGACGAATTTACATACTGAATGTTTGGTAGAACGAGAAAAAAAATCTTTTTTTGGTTATTCTCTATATTAACCTCTCTTGAAACTATGTGCATTCCCTTAAACTTACATTAGCGTTGGCATAAGTTTGCACAAGAACCATAATGGTTTGCAATCCAGCCATAAGATATATGTTCTTCTCTAGTTTAGCTTTAAATTTTTTCCCTAGGTTTTTAAGTTTTTCTGATCACTTACACTATGCCAAGCATGCAGTAAGCAGTGGCCATCCGCCGGAACCGGTACTCTGCGTAATCCTTCCTGCTGAAGGTATTCTTCTACAGATCGTGGTGTGCCCGCTTGATCGGAGCTGCAGTTTTCCTTCTCTATAGAAGCGTAAAATTACAGACGTTTGTCGTTAAAGTGTGGTTCCCATGTAATCATCCAGATGATCTACGGAAATGCCTATATGAAGAAGCGTCGTATAGCGACCCGGAAGATGAAACGCAGTCGCTTCAGACTAAAATGAATCTAATTATATGCAAGGTGGGTGATTATTTTCAATAAGAAGTCTTGTTAACTGTGGTTATTGCAACATGTTATTTGCTGACGATTGGATACGCCATTCAAGTTATGTTTGAGTGCGCACGCACGTACCTTTAAGACAGTTACTGTAGTTTTCTTCGGCACCACGCCAATCACTCGCGCGGCCCCAGTGCTTGCTCTAACTCATTGACAGTCAAAAGAGGAGAGCGCAAAAACGTGCGAAAATTCAAAATAGACCGAATGCGACTGTCTTAAAATTGACACTCTGCTATTGGTCGTTTTTAATATATGTACACATCTGCGCGCGCCTTCGGCTATCTTCTCTTCTCTGTGCCATACCAGGGCCTTGATTCCGGCCTGTGTTATACTGTGTTAAACTTCGCCGTTTTAATCTTTTTGCTATTCGAACTAAATTTCGCCAGCGGTAAGAATTTGTTTTTTTGGAGAACTGTCGAGTTGCTTTATTACTAGTGAAAAAGGAGTTTGTTTCACGCTTTTAGAGTGCTCACGAAAGTATATTCTATACCATTATTACTTCAAATGGAACGCTCGTTAAAATATGTAATTTATGCCAACTCTAGCTAAAATGTAGTTTTTCGGAATAGTCGTTTTTCTTTGCAGCTCTTCCTCTTTGTCTTGATGTAGTTCGTGTTCTTGACAAAAATATAGAAATTTTCCCTCGATCAGACTTTTTTTTTCCTTCGCAAAGGTTTCAGCAATGTGCGCGCGCGCCTCGCAGTAGCAACTCAAAACAAAAAAAAATTACAATAAGGCTTCACTAGCTTAAAAAATATCTTTCTTCAATTTTTTCCCTCAAGAAAACTCTCTCTGATATCGGCCTAAATTAAATTAAATTAAAGTTACCGTATTTATTTCGAAAGTGCGCAAAAAATATGTCTGCCCAAACTTCTACCACGTCCCGATTCATAATCAAATTTGCGAGTGGTGCCGGCCTCCCTCAAGTAACATCATCTTCTAAGACTATCTTTTTGCCCAAAAATTAAGGGTACATTAACTTAACTATGTACTCACCTTCATTTTGACGACTCATTTTGATAAATCAACGTTCTCAGTTTTCGAAACAAAATTTTCTCAATAGCTTTTATTAGACTGAAGCGTATTCGCGTCTACCATGTAGCTTAACGACTCATCTACTACCTAGTTACCTTTATGACGTAACATGGAAACCAATTAGCTAATTTACGCATGCGCATTTATGATCAGTACAACATCCTTATTTAGAATAATATGTTATGGTGTTAGTAGATGCCTTTCAGCATGTCTTGTTAGCGACGGAGCACTATATTGTAGCCTCTGTTTTGGTTTTGAACGCAATGAAAGGTTTTTATAACGCTGTCACTACTTTTTCTGACCTTCATCAGGATCTGCCCCGGAAGTTGAAATTATAACTCGTTTCCAGGCTATCTCACGTACTGCAGAGCCTTCAATTTACATCAGGGAGCTAAAGCAGCAACGTTTTTGAACGACGCACGTCAACCGGAAGTGAGCCTTTCCCCTTTAATATGCCTTGACGCCACCAAATTTGTATTGTTAAGTGTCTTTACCCTCATAGAGACGATTTAAAACGTTAATTCAAAATCACAGCTCAAGTGTGCTAAAAGTCCACTTCCGGTTGACGTACGCCGCTCAAAAACGTCGCTGCTTTAACTCCCTTCTACTTCCTGTAGTGACAGGATACAAAGACCGTATCATCGCATGTATACGGGAATCCGGATTCCGGAATCTGGAAATTTTGAGTTTTGGATCCTGGTCTTTGCAACCCGGAATCAAGGATTCCGGAATCCAAGTTCGACCGACAAAGAATCGGGAATCCCGTACCTGGAATCCAGAATCTACTGCGTGTAATTCAGAATAGAATCCAAGATTAGCACTGTGTTAGATTCCCTTACAAGAAGTGATTATAGGGCTAAAAAAACAATTTACCTTAAACTACAGCGTGTGCTAGCGGAAAAAATCATTCTAACAGGACTGCAAAAGACGGGGATGAGCAACTTTAATGGACCTTAGAATTACAGATACTAACTCTGCATCAATTTTTTTGCGAATGCGATGTTTACGATCGAAACTGACCTTTCTCCTTTATTGGATCCCACGATCACTTGACACGAAAAGACAGCATTTTTCCCCGGTAGGGGATTCCGTTGTTCCTGGTTTAACATTCAAATTGCGCCAGAATCAGTATCATTCACGGAAAAAAATTCCAAACCTTAATATTTAATTTTGAACACGAATCGAAAGTGGACGATTCCAAGCTCCAGCACTTGAAAACCATTCCTGATTTTCTATGGCACCTGGCAATTAACAGCCATACTCTTCAAATCAATAAACCAGTCTAAGAAAAATTTGACAAGTCAGGCAAAAATTGTACGGAACACATATTTGCTACAGATGCTCGAAATATTTGCTTAATGAAAAATAAATCTACGTGTTGGAGGTAAGCCTTAATCCGTCATAAATTGTAATTATCGCCTTCATCAGCTGGAAAAAACATTTCATAGATTTATTATCTGAATATTTTATGGGAAGAAAAAGTTGTTCGCAGTGCAGTCAGGACATGTTTACTACCACGCTATAGAATAGCTTACTTTTTTCTTTTCTTACACTATTTTTAGTTAGGTCTGGATATTTAAACATAATAAGATATGGAATGCTTAATTCAAGGTGACGATTTTTCGCGGGAAAAGTTGTACTGCCCACTACGAAACCGTCTCGAAAACTTTCTACTTGTAGTTTCTAATCAGCCTATTCTCTCTTGTAAACTTTAAGTGTCAGAATCGATGGCCACTGAAATCAAGAGCAATCCTAGATACTTAAATTATGGAGAGCTTTACTTGCTGGCCCACTCACCCACCAGAGGCTTTTTTTCGCGTGCGGTGAGGAGCTTACGTCGGCCGAAGGCCGAAGGCACGAGCGGTGCGCAGGAAAAACCTCTAGGACCCAGGGTATTGCTGGCGGCCTCACCTTTAGAGGCCAGTGGTCTTCGTTGACCATAAACTAGGGTCATGCAACAGCTTTCCTAACCCTAAAAGCCGAATGGTTCGATACCCTCACCGTGAAACAATGGGAAATAATGATAAACAATGATCTGTTATTGTTTTCTGCGACGGGTATCTACCCCACGCGCAGACGTCCCCTCCCTTTTTCCTTTGTTGCACGTCTGCACGCAAGCTAGCCCAAAAGCCTTTACCCTGAAAAACCGCATCTCAACACTAATAATGAACAGTGTCTACACATTTTCTTTTCTCCCAGTCGTTTATTTGTAATTTTTTCTACACTGGTACACTACTTGACTATCCTACCCACACTATTATCCATAACCTGTAGGTCACGCACATCAACCTGCATCATCACAAAAGACGACCAATTTATTTGTCATCCTTCATAACTATTTTTGTTTTGCTTTGTTGTTTTTTTGTTTTTTTATCTTGTCATCCTTGCGGACTCTTGAGAAAAGTACCGCTATATTGAAAAACACGCGCACACCTCGACCTGTATGCTTGTTTGTTTTCTCTTCTTCTTTTTCTTCAGTATTTTTGTTTTGTTTTTGCTTTCGCCAAACGTATTACACATCATTCATTTTGGCCATCACATAATGTACCACACTATCTCCATGGTGTGGTATTAGCTTAACTTTCACGAACATTTAGAGACTGTGAAGGTTAATAAGAAACTGTTCCCTGCATTTGGGGATAAGAGGGAGTTCCCGCACAAAGCTCTATAGCCAACACTGGAATTGCTACCACGTGCTTGCTTCCCTTGTACTGGAGATAGGAACGCCTTTTTCGTAACTTCAATTGCTCTCTGAGTAGGATCAGCCTTTTCATTGTTACTGGCTCTTAGTGCACCAAACCAATCCGGCGGCAACTGTTGGGCAAAAAAAAAACTTTAGCCTCTGATCAAAGGTATTGAAATGACTGTTTTATTTATTATGACATTTGGAAGCTTAATTAAAAATCACTAGATGCAAACGTATTTTATCAGCACTGTTATAGCTTGTTTCGAAGAGCTTTCTTTATTCCAGTCTCACTCCTACGCAAAAGCTTCTTTGTGTCGTAGGGGGGCTGGGGAGAGGGAAAAAGATATTTGATATTCCTATTTTTATTGGAAAACCCAGTGGTAGCCTCTAGGGAAGGGAGGGTTTCAGTTATAAGCCCCCCGGATATAACCCCCCCAGGGGAAATAATTCCCCCGGATGTAAGCCCCCACCCCCGGATATAAGCCCCCTGGATATGAGCCCCCGGGGGGGGGGGTTAACAGGGTTAACAGTCATACGACAAAACTGATCAAAATAGAGCTATTAAAAGAAGCTAGAGCATTGCACTTGACACTGAAAAAAATAAACAAAAAATTACCAGTAACAGGAAAGGCAGGGCTGCAGGGTCTTGGTTTCCATAAGCCATAGTCTTGGGTAGATTGGTTCACAAACTGTGTCCCATCCAAGTCAAGTTCCTTTCCTGGCCTGTCGTGACCATACTCTTTTTTGTTTGTTTACTTGTTTAATTTTTTCTCAGTTTTGTGTTTTTTTTAGATAGTTTTTCAATTAATTTTTAAATTTTTATTTATTTATTTATTTATTTTTTGTTTTGTTTTTTTTTTTCCTTCTTTTGTGGGATGGAAAGCTGTCACGACAGGTCTGATCTTGTAGAGCCTGCAAAAAAGTAAAACTTTGAGTAAGAACAGAGGGTACGAAACCAAGGTGGTCAAAGATGCTTGCTTACATATCTAAGATTGTACCTTGAATAAAAAATGTTGCTCAAACAGGAAGACTGTGGTCAATGCATTTTAGAAATCAGCCAACCTGTATAGTGAATCCCACTTCTAATGAGGCATGACAGTTTTGTAAATACATGCAAGACACTGCATGTTCTAAACCTTCCATATTTCATAACTGAAGAAGTATTAAATGTTCAGTTAACTCTCTTTAAGTTTGGGACTGGTACTAAGTGTCTGTGTAAGAATGATGTCTGTCTTATAGACAGTCAATTAAAGGGATCGAGATAAAAAGGCTACGACCAAATATTTGTGTCCATTTTACTGAGGGGTCCATCTCATAGAGGGTGCCGCTGTCAGGTTGGTAATTGTTTGGATCTTAAGTTTGAACTTAAATGTCAAAGAAAAGAAAAAAGGAATAAATCTTCACTTGGGAACACCTTGCCATCTTAATTGGTAACACCCCTTCCAGCTTCAAATTAACAATAATGCAGCCCTGTGTGAAAAACATTAGAAATCGACCCTTACCTTATTAAATAATATTACTCTGGCTTTGTCTTGCTTCCAAAGCAACATGAAATTGATGGCAAACATCGTCTGATCCAAGAGGGCTTGATTTCATTTCTTATCTTCTCAGTTTTGTTAGTATTGCGTCTGAATTTAGATTTTAGAGTTGACCACAGTCTCCTTGTCATCTGTGAAAATCAAAATAAAGCAGACTTAAACAGAAAACTGATAAGTACACCCACGCATAGCCTACTCAGCACCCATAGTCAGTGACTGTTGAGTGCAAAACATGACAAGAACATGCCCTGACTTCTTAAAGCTAATGTAAGTACACACACATTACAACTTATACGAAAAAGTACAAATAGGACTGTTCAAAGTCGAGCCAATAACATCATAAGCTGATAAACTGAAACTAATCTTCCTTAACCCAGCCCCAGGAGTTACCAAATTGATAGGTCCTACAGGCTATGATAAATCCTAAGTTGTCCTATAAAGTAATATTAAGGCATAAGTTACACTGATCTCAATCCACTTACCATTATGGATTTCCGCATTTTTATTTCTGCTACTGGCTCACTTTTTACGGGATCGGCCCCAACATCTACGAACAAAAGAAATTAAACCTCAGAAGTTCTTGAAATAAATTTCATATGCCAAGGTTAAAAAAAAATGCTGGAAAGAGAGAAAGATGAAGAATAAAGAGACCATAACTGCAATCCGTGACATTAGAACTTGGGTCAATTGAACGATTAACGTTGACAATTGTTGTGCTCAACCCCCTTTTCCCTGGCCCTTTCAATGTTGGCCTCAAACTAGGGAGAAAAAGCCTTACCTTCATTTAACTTTTCATCAGACTCTGTAAGCTTGACTTCCAAAACCTATTGTTAAAGAAAAAACAGTAGAAAAATACTTATTATTATGTCATACTAAGCCACTATTTGAAATACCATTTTTCTATCAGTGCTCCCCCTCACTGATACAATATCAAGGACTCTCTGTATCAATTCTTACCCCTAGAGCACTGCATTTATGAAGCTACAGCATGCCTGCTTTTACAGGCCCTCAGTATATAAAGAAGAACATTTTCTGATTCACTAAAGAAGTGATAATTATTACTTTTTCAAATAAATAAGTAGTATTATCTTGCCAATTCTCATTATGCTGTAATAAATAAAAGCTCTTCATTTAGAGATGGAAGATCCTTTAGTAAATGCTGGTTGCTTTAGTACAGTTTCTCATGTAGTCACGTACTTTTTCACGGTCTTCATGTGTAATGCTTTGATTCTTTTGGTGCACTTCTTGGCCATCATGGTGCACTTCACAGCCATCACTGTCATTGTTTTGGTGCACTTCATGGCCATCACTGTCGGTGTTTTGGTGCACTTCTGGGCCATCACTGTCGGAGTTTTGGTGCACTTTTTGGCCATCACTGTCATTGTTTTGGTGCACTTTTTGGCCATCACTGTCATTGTTTTGGTGCACTTCTCGGCCATCACTGTCTTTGTTTTGGTGCACTTTTTGGCCATCACTGTCATTGTTTTGGTGCACTTTCTGGCCATCACTGTCATTGTTTTGGTGCACTTCCGGGCCATCACTGTTGGTGTTTTGGTGCACTTTTTGGCCATCACTGTCATTGTTTTGGTGCACTTTTTGGCCATCACTGTCATTGTTTTGGTGCACTTTTTGGCCATCACTGTCATTGTTTTGGTGCACTTCTCGACCATCACTGTCATAGTTTTGGTGCACTTTTTGGCCATCACTGTCATTGTTTTGGTTCACTTTCTGGCCATCACTGTTGTTGGTTTGGTGCACTTCTTGGCCATCACCGCCATTGTTTTGGTGCACTTCATGGCCATCACTGTCGGTGTTTTGGTGCACTTCATGGCCATCACTGTTGGTGTTTTGGTGCACTTCATGGCCATCACTTCCCTTGTTTTGGTGCACTTCCTGTCTTTTGCATCCAAAAACTTCTCCTTTCTCCTCGTCACTTTGCTGCTGGTCCTAAAAGAAATAAAAGAGGAAAATAAAAATACCCTCAGAAATTAATGTGAGGGTAAAAGTGAGTCCCCTGGGATTATAGTAAAAGCGTCAGTGTCCAACCTCCAAGTGGAAAGGGATTTCAAGTTTGTTATCATTTTTTGCCTCAGTTACTTTAACATCTATGTTCCCTCATGTACTTAGTTTGAAAAGGAAACATTTGCAGACAGACAGAGAAAAATACTATAAAACCAAGTTCATTAACACGTGGACCTTATCTTTGCCTTGAAAATGTGCCCCATAAAGATACAGATGGCTTCAGTTTCTAACTCTTGGGTGTATCTAATAGAGCCTTTCATGTTCAGTTAACTCAAATTAATCACTTACCATTTTAACCAGCGGCTCGTAGTGAAGACTAGTCAGCAGCAAGAGTAAACTGCCATCATGAACATCTGTCTTATTTAATCTGTCTGGAGTCACAACATGAATGTAAGGAACTTTATTACAACCTTCTGTAACCACTTTGCATGGAAGACCTGTAAGGTTTGATAACCCGTAGATAACTAAGTCTCCAATTTCACTGTTAAATGCGCCACAAACGCAATATTTGAACAGTTGGATTTGCCAGCCATCAAGCATGAACGGAGAATAGAAGCTTTCATGTTCAGTAAACTCACGCATCAGAGCAGAAAGAAGTTCTCGGTAGCTCTCGTACGTGTTAATGCCCTCCTCCTGCATGGCCTGAAGGAGAAACATTAATGCATCAACTTACATTAATTACCTTGAAAAAAGTCTTTTGTCCGCCACTCACCAGGAAACTTGTGAGGTCGACTTGTGACATAGAATAGGACTAGTCCCTCATTTTTCCCCAGGGACAGTATAACAAACAAAACGTGAACACACGTGAAAATCATCCCATGCGAGAAAAGCGAGATGCGGCGGTGAAAGAGCAGGCAATTCTCACATTGGGTGATTTTCACATGTCCCTGAGGAACAATGTGGGACTACTCATAGTCTACTTGCAGCAAGTCTAGGTAAATGTGTATGAGCAACATTTTGCGTGCAAATAAAAGTCATTGAAAACCCCTGTTCTCAGGTCAAAGTGAAAGGTGAACTTAACCTCAACATAAGTTAGTGTCATCCTCAATCTGCATAAATTATTCAGATCATACTTGGCCTCATAAAAGACGAGGCTTATTCACAAAATTAATATTTCAAAATATTTAAGCCTATTGATACCAGTAAAACGTAATTTACATGTCTTAAATTATTTAACAATTTCTGAATGAGACTGGGTATGACAAAATACTTGTTCCTCAGTTAGTCTAACCAACCTTCTAACCTCCTCAACGTTGATCAAAACCAAGAAGGACCAAGAAGAAACAGATGTTTTTTTGAATTTCATTCAATCTTTAGTAAAACTACCGTAGGTTGCCGCGCCCGCTGCATAAAAACGACACCAACCTCGTCCCCAGGGCGCTTTTCCTTGGGAATAGCGCCCTGGGGACGAGGTTCAAACGAGATCGGGGGAGGGCTGGGGGTGGATGGATGCAGGGCTGGGGGCTGGGCTGGGGAAGGGATTTTATGAACGATATAAAAATATGTAGTCGCAAGCTCAAATTTAATGTATGAAATCATTTACAAAATAGGCAGCGGAAGCAAAGCCCACACTTATCAGAGAGTTCGAGTCCAATTTGTTGCGATGCCCCTGCGCAAAGTCAGCACGTATCCCAGGATCAGACGGGGGTCCATTTGCCCTTAGTCTGCTACACAGCTGTTTTTAGTGTCGTCACGCAACGCTCCTCCCCACTAAGTTAGTGGGGAGGAGCATTGCGTGACGACACTAAAAACGGCTGTGTAGCAGACTAATTTACCCTAGGGAAGGCGATGAATACGGCTTTCTTTTGGGGGGGGGGCACCGTAGCTAGCTTCAAGGGGAAAAAACTAACTGAGTGCACGAGCAAAATGAAGAGTTTACGAGACAACAAGACTCTTAAATCTTTTTTTGGTTATTCTCTATATTAACCTCTCTTGAATCTATGTGCATTCCCTTAAACTTATATTAGCTTTGGCATAAGTTTGCACAAGAACCATTGCAATCCAACCATAAGATATATATTCTTCTCTAGTTTAGCTTTAAATATTTTTTTTCCTAGGTTATTAAATTTTTCTGTTCACTTACACTATGCCAAGCATGGATCAAGCAATGGCCATCGGCCGGAACCGGTACTCTACGTAATCCTTCCTGCTGAAGGTATTCTTCTACAGACCGTGGTGTGCCCGCTTGATCGGAGCTGCAGTTTTCCTTCTCTATAGAAGCGTAAAATTACAGACGTTTGTCGTTAAAGTGTGGTTCCCATATAATCGTCCAGATGATCTATGGAAATGCCTATATGAAGAAGCGACGTGTAGCGAACCAGAAGATAAAACGCAGTCGCTTCAGACTAAAAGTGAATCTAATTTTATACAAGGTGGGTGATTATTTTCAATAAGAAGTCTTGTTAACTGTGGTTATTGCAACATGTTATTTGCTGACGATTGGATACGCCATTCAAGTTATGTTTGAGTGCGCACGCACGTACCTTTAAGACAGTTACTGTAGTTTTTCTCGGCACCACGCCTTGCAATCACTCGCGCGGCCCCAGTGCTTGCTCTAACTCATTGACAGTCAAAAGAGGAGAGCGCAAAAACGTGCGAAAATTCAAAATAGACCGAATGCGACTGTCTTAAAATTGACACTCTGCTATTGGTCGTTTTTAATATATGTACACATCTGCGCGCGCCTTCGGCTATCTTCTCTTCTCTGTGCCATACCAGGGCCTTGATTCCGGCCTGTGTTATACTGTGTTAAACTTCGCCGTTTTAATCTTTTTGCTATTCGAACTAAATTTCGCCAGCGGTAAGAATTTGTTTTTTTGGAGAACTGTCGAGTTGCTTTATTACTAGTGAAAAAGGAGTTTGTTTCACGCTTTTAGATTGCTCACGAAAGAATATTCTATACCATTTTACGTCAAATGGAACGCTCGTTAAAATATGTAATTTATGCCAACTCTAGCTAAAATGTAGTTTTTCGGAATAGTCGTTTTTCTTTGCAGCTCTTCCTCTTTGTCTTGATGTAGTTCGTGTTCTTGATAAAAATATAGAAATTTTCCCTTGATCAGACTTTTTTTTTCCTTCGCAAAGGTTTCAGCAATGTGCGCGCGCGCCTCGCAGTAGCAACTCAAAACAAAAAAAAAATTACAATAAGGCTTCACTAGCTTAAAAAATATCTTTCTTCAATTTTTTCCCTCAAGAAAACTCTCTCTGATATCGGCCTAAATTAAATTAAATTAAAGTTACCGTATTTATTTCGAAAGTGCGCAAAAAATATGTCTGCCCAAACTTCTACCACGTCCCGATTCATAATCAAATTTGCGAGTGGTGCCGGCCTCCCTCAAGTAACATCATCTTCTAAGACTATCTTTTTGCCCAAAAATTAAGGGTACATTAACTTAACTATATACTCACCTTCATTTTGACGACTCATTTTGATAAATCAACGTTCTCAGTTTTCGAAACAAAATTTTCTCAATAGCTTTTATTAGACTGAAGCGTATTCGCGTCTACCATGTAGCTTAACGACTCATCTACTACCTAGTTACCTTTATGACGTAACATGGAAACCAATTAGCTAATTTACGCATGCGCATTTATGATCAGTACAACTCCTTATTTAGAATAAGGTGTTATGAAGTAAATGCCTTTCAGCATGTCTTGTTAGCGACGGAGCACTATATTGTAGCCTCTGTTTTGGTTTTGAACGCAATGAAAGGTTTTTATAACGCTGTCACTACTTTTTCTGACGTTCATCAGGATCTGCACCGGAAGTTGAAATTATAACTCGTTTCCAGGCCATCTCACGTACTGCTGAGCCTTCAATTTACATCAGGGAGCTTAAGCAGCAACGTTTTTGAGCGACGCACGTCAACCGGAAGTGAGCCTTTCCCCTTTAATATGCCTTGACGCCACCAAATTTGTATGGTTAAGTGTCTTTACCCTCATAGAGACGATTTAAAACGTTAATTCAAAATCACAGCTCAAGTGTGCTAAAAGTCCATTTCCGGTTGACGTGCGCCGCTCAAAAACGTCGCTGCTTTAACTCCCTTCTACTTCCTGTAGTGACAGGATACAAAGACCGTATAATCGCATGTATACGGGAATCCGGATTCCATAATCTGGAAATTTTGAGTTTTGGATCCTGGTCTTTGCAACCCGGAATCAAGGATTCCGGAATCCAAGTTCGACCGATAAAGAATCGGGAATCCCGTACCTGGAATCCAGAATCTACTGCGTGTAATCCAGAATAGAATCCAAGATTAGCACTGTGTTAGATTCCCTTACAAGAAGTGATTATAGGGCTAAAAAAACAATTTACCTTAAACTACAGCGTGTGCTAGCGGACAAATCATTCTAACAGGACTGCAAAAGACGGGGATGAGCAACTTTAATGGACCTTAGAATTACAGATACTAACTCTGCATCAATTTTTTTGCGAATGCGATGTTTACGATCGAAAGTGACCTTTCTCCTTTATTGGATCCCACGATCACTTGACACGAAAAGACAGCATTTTTCCCCGGTAGGGGATTCCGTTGTTCCTGGTGTAACATTCAAATTGCGCCAGAATCAGTATCATTCACGGAAAAAAATTCCAAACCTTAATATTTAATTTTGAACACGAATCGAAAGTGGACGATTCCAAGCTCCAGCACTTGAAAACCATTCCTGATTTTCTATGGCACCTGGCAATTAACAGCCATACTCTTCAAATCAATAAACCAGTCTAAGAAAAATTTGACAAGTCAGGCAAAAATTGTACGGAACACATATTTGCTACAGATGCTCGAAATATTTGCTTAATGAAAAATAAATCTACGTGTTGGAGGTAAGCCTTAATCCGTCATAAATTGTAATTATCGCCTTCATCAGCTGGAAAAAACATTTCATAGATTTATTATCTGAATATTTTATGGGAAGAAAAAGTTGTTCGCAGTGCAGTCAGGACATGTTTACTACCACGCTATAGAATAGCTTACTTTTTTCTTTTCTTACACTATTTTTTCTATATCATAAGTTAAAACTAACCGCTTTTCCATGTAGTGTTCTTACTTCGCGTAAGTTAACTTTTAGCAGAAATATTACAAACTAAAAAATCGTCGAAACTCAAGCTTCTTACACCGCTGTCACGTGTCTCACGGAAACGAAAAACCACATATCAATTTGTATATTTAGTCAGATAAAAATATGTTGTTTAGTCATGAATCATATTGGGCATGTTGTGAACTATATGTTTGCAATAGTTGCAACAATTAACAGGACCCAAAGATCTTGGGAAGCTGATGAGACAAACTGTGAATGGAGGCTTCCATAAACCATAATCTTTGGGATCTCAAGTATGGATTTTGTTGCATACAGTGAAATGGAAACAATTTGCTTGATTCTAATGACATCATTTGGTAAGTCACAAAATGAACTGTTTGAAGCGTGCACTAGAAAATACGAAAAAAAGATAAAAATTCACTTCGTCATTAAAATAACGTCAAAGGAAAAACATTGCTTTTCAGTTTTATAACAGAAGGGCTTAAGGCCCAAATTAAGCAATTCTGATATTGAGTCTCAGCTAAGAAAATACTCTTATTTTTTCATTCTCATTTTTATTTATTTGTTTATTTATTTATTTTTCTGGGCAAGTGCTAGTGAACCCCGAAGATGGAGTGTTCTTCATTACACGGCCCAAACACAAGGAAATCTTCGTTGGTGAAGACGTACAATTTGATTGGGAATACGCGCGAACCGACGTTCAGGAAGTTAGCTTCGGAGTTATTCTACCTGATATTGGGGAGATGACTATTTATAGTAAGAAAAAAGGTGGAGGAACAGTATTTAATAACGCTTATCAAGCCATCGACTGGATCAGGGACAGGACTGAAATTGTCTCTAACAGACGAGCAAGTTTTAAAATTAACAGAGTTCAGATGAAAGATACAGGGACCTACTATTGTACTTTGGTTGTGGAATTGGTTCACCATATCAGCAGAGTTCGCTTAACAGTAGTAGGTAAGTACGAAAACAAAGAGTTTAACCGGTGCAACCTTGCTGGTAGTACGGCGCTGAAACAAAAGTTGAAATGGCTTTGCTCGAAAATTAGGATCAAAAACCATAGACAAGCTTTATATCAAAATTTGAATGATATATTTAGTTGGATAGTTATCGATCTTGGGGATATAATTGATGTACAGGGAACCATTAAATAGTTTCTTTTCGCGTCAGTCTTACTTTTTTTGCTATATTCCGCAGTTTTGGGCTAAGTTGTCCCAGTCTTACATAAAAATGAGTTGAACTGCATTGTACTTTTACTAATTTAATTTTCAATCACTCTTCAGTTTTAATGCAAGGAGCAGAAACTCGTCAATTAAAAATGTCTAGTTCCTTAATAAAATGTGAGTCAATACTGTAAAATAATCATTTGTTGAAAATACGAATCAGTACCAGTGTAAAAACATGCAGCTTTAAATTCAGATATATTATTGTGAAAGCCTAAGGTAGTAAATTTTAATTTTTTTTATGGTCATAAATTCTTAAAGTGAGGCAAAATGAAGGGAGGATAAAATGCAAATTAAATTTTGGTAAAAACTCTATTATTAATTAGGATGCAAAAAATGCCCATGAGTCAGTTAGTCCGTTTTGAAATAAAATTAGCGGAAATAAAAAGCAAAAACAAATTAAAACCACATAGAAAAAACTAAATATCTATTAGCGGAAGGAAATTTGGAACTCATTAGTCAGCGTAGGGTAAATATAGATAAAACGTCAAAACGAGACAGGATTAAATACATTTCACAGAATGAAATAATTATTACTATGCTGATCGCTAATCGAGTCAGTAGCCATGAGAAAGTTCTGTGACCAGTCTTACAATATTTTCTACAGACTTACATTTTCTGAACAAACGTATTTTTTGAGCACTTTGCTTTAATTTAATTTTGATCGAGGAAAAGAGAGACTCTGATCCTTTATGATGTGTCATGAGGCTCCTGGATGTGTGTATTATTTTAAGCCAGGATTTTAAGCCATGGTACAAAAGACTTCCAGGAGGCAATGACTATGGTCGCAGATTGAGCTGAACTTGTCTCCAGGCTTTTCAAAATCAACCATACGTACATACCCCCGCACAAATGGAACTATCAATCAATATCACCCTGACGGGGAGTTTGTCTGTACTTCTTCATCTTTAGATCTTTTGATTGACAAGCAGCTCTCGACACAAACGAAGGAGACCTGGGAAGGACACAAGATTACAATTCTTTGTGCAGTAAGGCTACCACCAGGACAAACAGGGGTTAAGTTTTCTTGGATGCATATTCCTTCAAACAGAACTGTCTCCAAACAATTTCATGAAGAACTGAGAGGCAAAAGTTACTTGACTATGACAACAATTAAAGATGAAGACTTCGAGTCACTGCAGTGTAGAGCAGAGACGGCGTCTACCGTGAAATTTCACGTCATTGACATTATTAAGCTGAGTGAGTACATAGATTGGTTTTATTGAAAAACTCGAGGAGCTTCAAGGTCAGGTCTTTCTTTTGGCAGATAAAACAAAAGCATTGCAGTTCCTCTTTCCATTGGATTAAACAAACGATGGAGCCTTTGCCACCATGATAAATTAACTCTATATCACGTGGTCGCGCGTCGACCAATCAGACATTTCTCAACGGTGACGAGGCAGACAGTCTATACACTGAATCTTACGCATGTGCCCTGCTATGACCCTATCGGATTACCAATGTAGCAACAGTGTGCATTTGATAGGCTCCTGTGTGCATCCGACACTTTTCGAATCGCCTGTTCTATTTGAGTTACTGATAGACAGTGAATACCTAAAAAACCCAGAATGGAGGACTTGCAATAGAATATACCAGCAGAATTTTACTAATACAGGTTATAACTGTAATTCCATAAAGAAGAAATATTAAGCGCGCAGTGGATGATGGGAAGTGAGAAAAGGCCTCTCTTCCTCTTTTCCCCCTTCCCATCGTGCCTCGTGCGCTTTCATTTTCCCCCTTCTGCCCAGCCTTCCTACGACGCAAAAACATGACTATACCACATACAGTATCGCAAAAACTATTCATAACTAATCATCGATTCATTTATATATTCTTAAGATAAGTTAAAGTAAGTGAAGTAAAGTCAAATTAAATAAAGTAGATCCTTGCGTATTTTAAAAGAGGGACCTCTGCGGTGGAGACAGCTCTATCACGAAGCCCTTTTTAATGTTTGTCCTTGCAGATGTCCCCTCTGAACCTAGAAATCTCAAGGCAGAAAGATCATTGGACAATAAAACTCAACGAACATACATTCGGCTCAGTTGGGATCCCCCTGAAGATGACGGCGGGGCTGTGTTAAACTATATCATATCGTACAAACAATGCGGCCTGCTGGGGAAGTCCCCAAAGACTCTGGAGACGGAAACCAGTGAATTTACGGAATTGTTTCTCCCAGGAGGGAGTAGCTATCGAGTCACTGTGAAAGCAAAAAACAAAGCGGGTATTGGTCCATCATCAAATAAGTTAGTTGTCAATCTTGGTAGGTATTAGTTGACTCTTTTTTCTTATCTGTTCCTTAGTCAATGTCCAAAGTACGCGTGGGCGCCATCGCCCTTTACTCGAAATGATCATTCACCCCACAATCGTGGACAAATTGAAAAGAAGACCAACGGATTTTTAACATCATTTTCTTTACCTTGTCGTGGCGTTGGCCTTCTTGGGTGCTCCCCCTTAAAATTTTATCCTTTAACACGGACATTGCAGCAGGCAACTTTAAGTCTGCATAATTCGAATACAACTTTTTTATTTAATAGAGAGCTCATTCGAAGCATTATCAAACAAAAATGACTTGGGTTCAAACTAAAGAAGTGCCCATAAGAGAGATTTCCATCCATTCTATTCTGTTCCTTTTGGAGGCTAAGCTACTTTTCATGGCTTAAACAGCTAGTTTTAGGCAATGAAAAAATATCATCATCATAGTTTTTCCGCCACGTGATTTATGTACTAACTCTTTGATTTCATTTATCCTTTAGAGGACGTTCCTGATGTGTCCAACCTTCACGGAAACAGCCAGTCTCGTAATCACATAATCACGATGCCATTACTTCTCTTGCTTATCTTTTCAACGTGGTTCAGTTCTGTATAAAAAGGACCCTGAATAACGCCAAAAAAGTGATTTCCTTCCTTTAATAACTCGGTTACGCTTCATACAAATGTGATGACACATTTTAATAACCTTGGGGGATACACGATACTGTCGTTTGTTACTTTCCTCAGTCAATGACATAGCTATATGGGTGACTCGGAAAAAACCCGCATTTTCCCAACGGAAGCCGGCGAACCTAATTCATTTGCCTTCCTTTTCGATAGCCTTCCAAGCAGGCTATAAGGAACCCATAAAGTGGCAGAGGTAGAGTTGCGCTAGTTACGACCCAGTAAAAGTGAAAACAAGCTGTGGATAGGAAAAACATTTTGTTGAGCTTTTTCCTCAAACGATACAGCGGAGAACAAGCGCATGCTTAGGCTGCCTGTTCTCTCAGCGACTACCGACGCGTTAGTTTCAGAAGTTAAATACAATAATTCACTAATTTTGCTGTATCAATAGTTACTGAGTGTTTGACCAGGACACTCATTCACCAAAGATATTTTTCAGAGAGGTCCTGGGTAGGCTCGATTACCAGCCGCTGTTCGGGAAATGAGCCCGCACTCCTTCCCCCGAATAGAGCTGCGGAAATCGAGCCTAGATCCTGGAGTGTTCTCTTCAAATCCTTCGATTACAAGGGATTCATAAATCAGTTTCACTTTTTTTTTTTCTGGAAAAGAGGGATATAAATGAAAGGTTAGCCGGCTAACCTGCTCGTCCCGTAGATGACACACATACTTTCTAAGAGCATTAAAAGTATGTCTTATTAATATTCCAAGTTTACCTTTCGAACAATGATTTCTTCACCGAAAGCTGACTCAATGTAGCATAGTATGTCTTGAATGCAAACCACAACAGCTTTTTTTGGCCCGTTAATTATATCGGGACTTCCAAGAAACTGACCCCTATGCAGGGGCACACAACGAGAATATAGTTCAAAACCACTTAAACATAGCATTGTTGTGCTCAAACGTGTTTTAGTATTTAAACGGTAGATACAGGCATATTTTTATCCCCTAAAAACTTTTCATCTGTTCGGATTTCCTAGCTGAAAGTCTAGTGATCCGAAAATTATAGGGATCAAAACTTACCTTTTCGAAAATTTCAGCCAGGAAAAGGCTCTCCCGAAAATTCTAGGTGGTCTTTTTTAGGGTAAATATCTGTTTAAAATGGGTAATTATACCATTTTGTAGATGTTCGAAAATCCTCGGAGAGGCAGGCAAGCAAGAAATTTTACAACAAATGTTCCGAAAATTCTAGTTCTCAAATCGTCTTCCGAACAGATATTTTCCCGAAAATTGCCGTTGGGTGCCCCTGCCTATGGGCCTTTAAAAGGAGCGGGGTTAACTTTAATTGTTTTTATTATTATTTAAAACTTTGGAATGCTGTCCACATCATGAGTAGTAAAGGGCGCATAACGTAACCTACACCACTTGAGAATCTATACGTATACTTAGAAGTAAAAAAAAGGTCGGTGCGAAACTTAATACAATCCTAATATACATAATGATATGAATCACTCTACTTAAAAAGCCAATTTAAAATATTATTATTATTATTATTATTATTATTATTATTTAACCCCTTCATTCAAAGGGACAACTATGGGGAGTCAAATGTTGTTGTAACTTATTTAGTGTTTAGTTTTCACTCTGCGTCTGTATAAAATTAAATGAAATCCTATGTTGAGACCATTTTAATGAAACCTCTCTAGCAGTACTTTTACATCACACTATTTGTAATTTTTTTTCCTGTATTTTACTAAATGAGATACAAAATCTTTCTTCAATTTCACATGGTTTCTGTTAGAATGAAAGGATCAATCACGGTTTTGCTCTGATAGGTTAGTTCGCGGCGAACATCTATCTTTCGATATCTTAAATTGACAGGAGTACCCTCTCCAGAAGGATAATCTTCAGCTTACACTAACAATTCGCCTCAGGGATCTTTAACAAGTTCTCGGATGATTTCAAGTCCTCACAGTCGTCTGGTGACAAAAATTCCTGTTGAATGAAAGCGAATAAAAAGTTCTATTAAGTGGCACTGGGAGTGAAGCATTCGGTGAATAATGCGCAATATACTCTTTTCGCATGTCGTGTGGGAGTCTAGCCAAACAAGGATTGTTAGCAGTGTTAGGTCCTCTTATATATTAGGCTGATTTAGCAACAGGATGGGAACGTCAGTTGACGACGGGAAAGCGCACGGAAAGGACTAAACACGACCTCCGGTGCCCAATTTGTCGCTCTGCCATTGGTCAAGCTTGGTCAAGCTACTTGTTTAATTTGCGCGCCCGTCATCAACTGATGTTCCCGTTCTGTTTCTAAATCAGCCTATTAGTTAAAGTAGGAAGCATACGGTTTCGAACCTTAGCAGGAGCTGCTTTCTATCAACAAGGAAGGATTTCTTATATTACTTGAAAGATTTGATATAATTACAAAAATATTTGCGAAAGAAATTATTCGCTAAAGGATGGGGACTACCCGGCCGCCCGCTCAATTCAAACCCCGGACAAGAGAATAAAGGGCCGGGGATACTTAGCCCCTTTATCCTCTCTTGCCCCAGATCACCAACCTTGTTAAAGTTTTCTCTGGAGAACTCGTAAAAATTGACTTCTTGACTGATGTTTCTGTGGCTCTTCACTTTTTTAAGAAGTTCACAAACCATCCCACTGCCTGTTTTTAAATAATAGTTAAAGTGTGTGCAGTGCTTTCGTCGTAAGCACTTGTCGGCACAATGTAGAACAGAGAAGACTGGCACTGCTCGTATAACAGAACCGAGAGCCATAATCCCATTATGGCTCTTGACAGAACCGATTCCTTGGAGATCGTCTACTCGGCGATACAATGGTACTTTGGAAGGATCGTGACAGTCTTTAAAAGAGGTTGAATAAATCATGAATTAGTGGTTCGTTTTAGACTTTCCTTGAACTCGCACAAGTAATCCTGCTCGCAATTTGCGAGCAGGATTACTTGTGAGAGTTCAAGGAAAATTTTTGGCGGCGGCGCGCGACAGAATTGGGCCCATTCCTCTGACGCGCTAGAGGCTCCGCCGCTAAAAACTTTTTCGAACTCGCACAATGAGCCTGCTCGTAGGCTACTGCTGTAAAGACTCTGACACTTTATTAAACTTTTTAAGTTCTTACCTAATCAATAATTTATAGAAAGACTAGCCATATGGGTTACGGGAATGAATCGCAAAGCCAAATGATCTTTCAGAAACCATTTCTTTAGAGATAAAAACAACCCTACGAGCGAGGCGCTGCATAGAAACAATGTAGAAGGCAATCCAATGCACCGAGAGATTTCGCCTACCTACCGTTATTTTTATCGAAACATAACTAATGAGGACGTTGGGGTTTTTTGTTTTTATTTTGTTTATTTTTTATGTTATTTATATTTCTTTTTAAGCCCTGCGGCGATCGACTTTACGACTCCGGCTATAAGTTCCACAACCAAAACCGCACGGCCATAAGAAATTTTAGATTTATCGAGCAATAGCTAGCTGTTCCAATAAATATATGCAAGTGGGATGTTTTTTGGACAGTAAAAATATTTAAGTTAACCGGTATACAAGAAGGAGTCCTGATCCATTAGTTAATGCACAATTATATGATATACCAAGAGAGGATATCCTCTCTTGGATATACTTAATACCTCATGTTACGAATTTAAATAGACAGCTTACCAGAATTACATTTCCCCAGCTTCGTGAGTAAAGCCACGACGAATATAATATATAAAAGCTGCATTTTTGACAAAGTTGCTGCTTGCTCGGTTTCTGTAAAATATCCCGTTCTTCGTCTTGGCGTCGGCGATATAAAGTGGTAGACCCAGGACGTCTTTCTGGAATTCACATTAATTTTTACCTTTCGAGGATTTTGGGTTTAAAGATTAAAATAAGAAAACCGTACAAATCCAGCCTGATCAAAATGTGCTTGATTTTTCATAGGTATTCAATTTCTCAGTTTGAAACCCTTCCGGCCACTCTTGACTCTTTTCCGGCCAATAACATAACATTCAATTAGTTATTGCAAGATTGTCGGAAATAGAATCGCAAATTGAAATTTGTCATTATATCTTAGACTTTGATACTCTTACCGCTGTGCTAGTAACTGTTTGTGAGGTTTTGCCACTTAAAGATGGTTATTAAGATTATCCAATCGCAGTTTAATTTATGACCTAAGAGAGATCAAAACAGTTTTCAAAACTATTATTATGGATCATCGCAGTTCTATTAAGCAGATTGCGACAGAATTAGCCGAAAATAAATGAAAAATTTAAAAGAAGAAATGTTATCGTGGAACGATGTTAGACTGACACAAATGAAAATATCGCCAGTTGAAATTTTCTCCAGAGGTACAGGAAATGGTTGATTTAAAAAACACTGTATAGTAAGGAAAGCATCAACTCATCGTCATCTACAATCTTGTATTTTAAACCACCCACGGCCACGGTATGAGTTACATTTACTTTATTTCTTTAAGCAATAAAAAAGTAAATAAATAAGCATTACCATTTTTTCCTAATAACTCAACTTTTCACCTGCCGATTGCCATCTCGTCCCCAGGGTCTTCTCATTTCGAGAAGGCCCTGGGGACGAGGCTTATGCCGATTCTTGAGCGTCTACATCGATGCCTCGTACGTGTTAATCGTACGTGGTTCCAAACGGCATAGGGCGTGTGCAGAAGGCTTTATCCACCCTGCTTCTTCCCGTATAGCGTAAGCCGCGATAAGCTGACGACCTGGACAAATCTACAAAAATCTCTTATTTTTATTTTTTTTGCAAAGTTGCTGCACGCGAAACCCAAGCACGTTAGCTAGCCGCGATAAACGAGGGCGCACGTCCCAATCCCGTATTCTAACGTAACGTCGTGGTCTGCAATCGCGCTGGTTGAGATATTTTGAGAGAAAAAGCGGACTGTAAGCAGTCTAGGAAAAATCCAGCTGTTTTAACAGACGAAACTTAACTTTAGAAAGAAAACAGCGATGGCAAAAGGGACTTGAGCTTTCCGGAATTTCTGACGGCTTGTTTGCTCGAAATATCGGGAAAACTCAAGTTGCTTTTTATTTGCTTTTCATTAGACTGCAAAACAGTCGGGTTTTTTTTCCTCAAAATCGGTTTAGCAAAGCGTAAGAGTCTTACGTTCGCGCGTTCCTGAAAACAAAAAAATATGGACTGTTTTAAAGTCTAGCTTTTCATCTACTATAGCGTCATCGAATCTCATCGACCCAAGCCACCATTCTTTGTTTTCTTTTTCATCCTTTATTTACCCCCCCAATCCCTTCAACCATATCATGCCTTGCTTATCTAACTACCCCTCCCTTCCCTCTCCTATTCCTTCCCCTCCCCTCCCGGCTCTTCTCCATTAGATAATACCGTCTCATTCTTGTGTTTATTAACCTGACACCTGTGTTAGTTTGAATAACCACAGAAAGTGAGTTCTTAAATTATTATTTGCTAAATGAGAATGAAGTTCTTTGTTTGATAATTCAAAGTTAGACGTTTTCTTCAATATGCAGACAGGTTCTGGATATCTTATTGACACAATTAAAAACTACAAAACAAATATTTCTAATAATATTGACAGTCAGCGTTTGCCAGACATGATCATCATAGTCACGTTTAAGATTTTTATCCAGTGGTAATTCGCCAAACATTTGGAACATCGATGGTGTTTTCAAGCTCAAGAAACAACATGCTAAACACTGAGCTCCGATAAATCGACTTAACGTAGATTGCTTGGTTATAATACCACTTTTTCGTCATGTATTTAGGTAAGTTTTCTTTCTTACTTAGCAAGTGAATCATGAGTGTTTTCAAGAACCATAATGGCTCTTGGTGTTTTTTGCTCTAACTTTGATCGTTGGTGTAACAAAATTAAAAAATTTAGCTCAGCACTGATCATTAAAACCACACCAGGGTCTTAGCCCACTGCATTTTCTTTGTTCCGAATAAATTTTGACTACACTCCTTTTGTCTTACAATTAATGACATGAATGCATCAAAGTCAGTAGTATTCTTTCATTGAAGTTAAATCGTTAATTTTCGTTAAAAAGGCTACCATTATTTTACATCTGCATTTCTTTTTATTATCTTTCACTTCTCCTTTTCTGCTTCCTTTGTATGTGTATGTCAAACTAAACTTGCATCTGCATCCTCCCTGAGCCTCCATCTCCCACTGACTGGTTTTGACTCTCTGCGGACACAACATATTTACGCTTTGGACTATACCTTGCAAATCAATTAATTTAATAGACTCCTGTCACTACTTAATCACAAGTAAGATCGCGGATACGCCGAAACACTTTACAAGATTTTCAGTTTATGTATAATTTCCTTGCGTTCGTATATTCTTCGGGCGTCGGGTCGATTCTGACGCATCGTGATCGACGTTCGGTCTTCTAAACAAATTTGAAAGATATTTTCTGTTGCCATTGTTGCGTTTACATCGGAAACCTCGCAAAAAGACGAATTTAACACCAATCCTACAACTGCAAAACATTTGTAACTTGAGAAAACAGTCGACTTTTCGCGAAGCCAGCTACTGGTTTCCCCGCGAGTTGACGTCTGAGGAACGAACGGAGAAATTCGATATTGATGACGTGTCTCTACCCAAATCTGGATAGTGCTTCTGATTGGTTAAAACAAACTTCACTCACGGCACAACCAATCAGGAGCTCTACGAGATCTGACTAGTATCACATCATCAGTATATGCAGAATTTCTGCCCTCCTCATTTTGCACATCCTTGGAGACCCAGGGGCAGCTAGTCGGGTCGATAAAATGTTCGTGGTGAAATTCAAATGCCATGAACATTTTATCGACCCGACTAGCTACCCCAAGGTCTCCGAGGATGCATTTTGCGAGGAAACTATGATGGCGTCTCGAAATATCGACTGCTTTCTCAGGCTAAGACTATATGTCTGTAGAAAAGAATTGGCTGATTATTTTTATACTGGCATCATTGTCAATATTATTGCTAGTTTATTTCGCTGTTTTTCTTCTACAGACTTATCCGCGGTGACTCGAAACAACGGTTTTCAAATTCTGTTAGCTGTGGTGTATTTCATAATATCTCACAGATGCATCTTTGGATCTGGTACGTAACGCGATTAATTAAATCATAGTTAGTGAGGGACACTGGTCACGAAAGGCGACGATATCAAAGATAAGAACAACGATGCAGTTTATGTTGGAAGCTCTCTGCACGTGCACAATCCTTTGTTTTTGTTCACAACACGTGACTGAATAAATCAACGCGACGTTTTTATTGGTCAATAAGATCAAAATGATAGGAATGTTATTGAATGTTGTGCACCATCAGATCCACAAAAACATACGGTAAAGGAGTCTGACGGGTTTCATAACCACTCCACTCTATTAACTATGGTTGAATGCAATTTCTCTTTAGAAAAGTAGTTATCTAGGGCACACCACATTGACAATTAATTTTGGCAATTAACAAAGACTCCACGAACGTCTATTACAAAAGCAAGAGGACCAACCTCTTCATCAAGCCCTGGTCTTCTTGTTTTTCAACAAGAAGACCCTGGGGACGCGGTCGTAAGGGGACATCAAACGTTTTAAAGGTAGACTGCGGGTTAGAGGGGAGTCTAAATTGTAAAACAAACCAGCTTGTTGACCAGTACTGCGTGTTTTTACAGTATACTCAGAATGCACTTATGCTGAGGTAGCTGCTGCAAAACCATGCACAGCAGGGAAGGAACAGTGTGGCATGATGTGGAGCCCGTGTTGTCTCAAGTTAGGTAGTAATGGCGATTCATCCAAGTGCTTTAAGAAAGCAAGACCTACAGATCAGTCAGGAGATCGAGGTAACTGAATACGATACCGTAACTCAGGGCCCAGTTGTTCGAAGGCCGGTTAGCGCTTAACCACGGTTAAATTTAACCCACGTTTCTTTTCCTTTTGTTCAAAAGCATTTTCTCGGATAATTTTCTCTGTTATTTTTAAGAGCATCCAATCATCAACTTGTTGACAAAAAGAATCGAACTGAATTTATTTTTTAAGCTTTCATATCTAAATTCAAATTTCGCTTAACCCTGGGTTTTCTTAACCCAGAAATATTTGCAAGCCAAGGCTTATGTATAACAAAATGATGAATTACATCGAGAAACACAATTTAATTTACTTTCCCTAGTACGACTTCCGCAAAAAACATTCCACTCAACATGCATGCTATATTAGGCATCGTTAATGCAATCCAGGCTAACATGAATCAAGGACGTTTGTAGCATACTCTTCTGGTGTGTTCAGTGACCTCAAAAAAGCTTTCGACACCGTTGAACATAATATTCTGCTGGATAAACTCAACTTCTAGGCAACTTCTATGGCTTTGGTGGATTAATCAAACAATGATTTTCCTCATACCTCAATAACAACCTCGTTCCCAGGGTTCTCTATTACCCGGCCCTGCGGGTAGGAGAGACAACCTGGGACGAGATTGATCTCAATAATCGCACTCAAACTACTCATATTGCCGATTTCATATCCAAATAAAGCCACAATCGGCTCCAGTTCTATTTTCTAAAGTGGCAAATTCAAATCGCTCCATTTCTCATAAACGGACGCTTAGTCGTGATCTCAGCCAATTACAAATACAGCATTTTCAACTTCCCATAAGCGGAAGAGAGTCCACTGACCAACGATTTGTTTTTTTCTTTTTTAAGGTAGCTGCATTAAAGCTACCATCCTTGACAAGAAAGAGCCTGCTAATCAAATCCTGGAAGGTGACGTCATAGTTGAGCTTAAGGCTCTTTCTGAGCTCCAGTGCTGGGACTATTGTCTTCGACATGCGCAGTGCAAGGCTTATAATTACCAGAAAACGGGTCAGGATAAACCCTTGAAGACCTGCCAGCTATTAAGCAGCGAGACAAGATTAAAATCTAAAGAGGACTTTACATTTCACGACTTTGAGCAGAATGATGCAGATAGAAAGGTACGTTAACGCCCTAAAAAGAGCTGAGTCCCATGGGTGATTTTTTGAGTCGCTAACGAACCATCCTTGGAGACCCAGGGGCAGATAGTGGGGGCGAGGGAAAGTCTAAACGGGCGGAAAAATATGGCACGAAGAAAACTAAAGAACGGCGAGAAGAGCCCCTGGGGACAATGTCTTACCAGACCAGTTCCAAACGGTCATCGTCATTCTGGCACCAATCAGCAGCCAGAACGGCTGTGACCTTTTGGAACTGCTCTGGTAAGACATTGTCCCCAGGGGCTCTTCTCGCCGTTCTTTAGTTTTCTTCGTGCCATATTTTTCCGTCCGTTTAGACTTTTCCTCGCCCCCACTATCTTCCCCTGGGTCTCCGAGGATGCTAGCGAACGAAAGTAATCAGCTACTTTACATAAGCGACGAAGCACCAGAAGCGGAATCAGAGACAAAATCGAGATAAAACTTCAACGCAAAGCTATACCCGATAAAGGGATCTCCGGCCTTCAATTTTTGTTACCAAGGTAAATCGTGAATCAAAATTGGGTGCATTAACAGTAACATTCCTGGTTATAAGATCCCCCTGGAGATAAGCTCTCACGCTCATATCTGAACCTTTTTTAATGTCACCGGATATGAGACCTTCCCCCCAGCCCCCGCCCCCCATCCCACACACACGGCTTGTTTCTCGACTATTCTACGCATGTAAATATCGCCAGTAATAGTAAGTTTAACATGATCTGTCCTTGAATTAATCATGATTTGGTGTTAGATTCTTCTAGGCAACATGTGTCGCTGAGGAACTGAGCCCAAGGAACAAATTGATCCATTTCAGTTTTAACAAAGAGTAACTCGAAGAAAGGAGCCAGGAGAATGCAGATGAAAACCACGCGGAAGTTATCCACAGATTGTGGCCTTTTATGAATTTTTTGCGACCACCGGAGGATGTCAAAAATGTTTGTACCAGCACTTGATATTTTGCACACTTTGTATTAAAGTTTGATGCTGGGAAAAAATATGCCTTATTTCATGTGTTTGCTCAAGGTTTTAGATTTACAAGCTCCAGAACTACAAAGTCTGTAGTTTTCTACGGTTTGGACATCACCTAAGTGGGGGCGAGGTCTGAGCATGAAACGTGTTAAATTCTTTCCAGCGAAGTTTTCTTGGCCCCTGCACGCGGTTTTAAGTCATGCTACTGCTCTTTGAGCACTATAGCAGTGCGCTAAAGGTGTACACTTGGCGTTCTTCTCATGACGTTCCCATTAACTTTATTTTTCTTATCTTTTGATACAAAACTATTACGACTTTTTCATTTTGCGACTATCATAGCCGCCACTTAACTAAAATGACCAGAGTAATGCAGCACAGCACTATTTGACCTCAGTGCGTGCCCAAAAAATTATTCTTATAGTACAACTGTGCAAAAATATTCTGCGTTCAGCTGAGGTCACAGCCACACATCTACGATAACCAGGTTCAGGGTCTTGGAAATTCTTCTTTTCTGAAAAAGTGCCTATTCTCATCTGGCGACAATAACAACCACTCGCTTTCCATTTTACTGTAAGGGGGGAGGGGGATTGCATCTTTCAACGATCTTCGAAAGACCATCTGTGAAACCTTTGCGGTCGAGAAAGACAAATGCAAATGCAATATTCCAGTTCAGAGCGCTTAAACCTGCAACTCTAGCATTCCAGACATTTTCTCAATCTAAATGCAAGGCTAAAATCACGATTGATTCCAAGACGACTATCCGGCGGGGAGAAAAGAATACGGAGATCCGTCGAATAAGTCAAATTGTGGGCAACGTTTTTAGATTGGACCCTATGGAATTCCCAAGACGTAACCCGTTAGTTGCCAAGAATAGATCAACACGTTTTATCCCATGTAGTCTTCAAGTATATCAGTCGTCAAGTGGTTAAAATCGTTACAAATGCAGACAGGTAGGGCGATTTCAACATCTCGAGCGACTACGAGTGAATGATTCAGAGATTTTCGAGACAAACGTCGAAGGAGTTGATCTGTTGACTATTCTTGTCTCTGTAGTTTATCTGCAGGATTAGTATCGCATTAAATTCCAACTGCTGCCTCGACTGCCTCCCAGTGATGAATGTCCATGGGTAGAGGACTGTTTAAATTTCCACAGAACAATGCGCACTGAGAAAAAAAGACAAAGGAGGGTGAAGCTGTCGAAAGAAACTGTATGCTGACCCTTCTAACTGCAAAAATAGTCGCTACTTTAGAAAGCAGAAGGGGACTGGGCCGAGTTAACTTCCACAAAGACTTCTGGGACTGTTACTGGTGACATGGAGAAAAATTGACCAGTAGCTGACCGCCGCGCCCTCGATAACGATCCCAGAAGAAATTGCGGGATGCATTTCGGCTCCAGTTCCCTTCTCAGTCGTTTCTAAAGTGGCGAGATGACTGTGGATATCTCATGGAACGATCACTCGTTCTCTGATTAAAAACAGAGTAGACTATCGATGGGTAGATCAACATTCCGGGTGAAAGTTTGGAGAGGAAGTTGGCTAATTAGATGAATAGCTAGATGTTAGTCTGTGTGATTGGTACACCCTGACGGACCGAATCCTATCACAGTTTTTACTACGGAATGAATATGTGTTTACTGTCCCCGGCTAACTGTCTGATGACTAACAAGTAAGGAGGCTAGAAGACCCAACCGAATAACCAAATATGATTCAGCACCTTAACGACTAATTCAATTCACCACTTTAGAAACGACAAAAAGAAATGAAGCGAGTTAAAATTCGCTAAAACTTTTTGGACTTCCCAGAAACAATTGCGGGACGCATTTCGGCCCCAGTTCCTTAAAGAGGCCAAAGAGTGATTATCAGACTAACGGATGAGTTAAAAAAAACAATTATTTCACACTAACCCCAACACTGTCGTTGTATCGTCCAGCTGAGGGTGCTTTTGCTACTTTGGCGCTAAATTTCCTTGTTCTGCTTTCCAAAGCTGATTTTCTAAATCGCGGGTCCAGTCTAAAAATGTGTCCCTCCGTGCTGAAGATGTAGTTCGAGGCATCTTGATTAACATGGTTTTCACTATCAAACAGCTGGAAAGGGAAAATATGACTGGATTTAGACGGTCTCATAGTAAATTGTAAATGTAAATATCTTATTATGCACTCCCTTCAGGGCTTTTCAGGGGTAATTCCTATCAATGGTTAGGGGAATTTTGCCAGACTGCGTGTGGCGTAGTTTACAATTAATGACGTACGTGATGAGTTATTTACGCCCCCCTTTTTACCTGAGTGTTGGTCCGGCAGGGGCTTCATCTCCCAGCATGCCGGCAGAAGGGCGCTTATCCAACTGAGCTAACCGGGCGGCGGTAAGAACTGTACAGCCAACTGGAAAGAGCGGGTTTCATCCCACCGTCTTAATCTTTTTACCACGAAAAATTGTTTTCATCAACCCGATTGATAAAAGTCAATCTGCTGTGTCCAGTCTTTCAGTTGATCGACTCCTTTGTGATTCTTCGGCTCCACAATTTGTCCACAAGAACTCACGCAACGTCCTTGCAACCAATAAAACCTACAGATGCGCTGTTTCCTGCGCTTCTTTTGCCCTTTCCTTACACTGAACAGCTTAGAAATTTCTCCGTTTCGGAAACAAGAGACCTTAAGATACACCCTTCCTGCCTACGGGTACGGGTAGGCACTCATGTTTGACAAGAAGCAAACCTGACTTCCCAGATTTGATAGCAGTTTCTGCGGGGTAACAGGCCACCCACCCGTATTTACGGCTACGCCACGGGTAATTTACATTTACCCGTACGCAGAAACGGTGTATCTTAAAGTCTCTACAATTGCAAGTTTTATCGCCATTAATACCATCCTACTGAAATCACATATTCGCGCGTTTACTTTCGTTGCATCTTCTCTTGGCACAGCATTTCAACTAATTTGAGCCCATTATAGCGGACCTCTCGCGCGCACGGAGCGCGCGCAGCGGAGCACATGGGTAAGAAAATTTGGTTATCTATGCATCCGAGAAATTTTTGTAACCACGTGACCTTACGTCCATTCGCCCGCCCGTCCGCGCGTCCGTCCGCACCACAGCCATACCAATGTAAAATAACTCTATCAACAGGTTTTTTTGTTGCTAATTAGACTTGATTTTTTTTAGCGGTCTCGTCGCCGTCGCCGTTTAGCATTGCACGATTTCACTAATTTTTTGTTGAGTAAATTATAAGTATATTAACGAGAGCTTCGCTTTTAGCCCTGGCTAAATCTATATATTCTATTTTTGAAAGATTGCATAGACTTACCAGATATAAATACTTGCAAGTTTCACTTAAGAAAAAACTTTCCATTCTATCTTCTTGAGATTTATCTCTGACGTCATGTAATGTAGCATATCCACATCTGACATATAAAAATAACATTAACAAAATGAAATAAGGCCCTTGTCACTTTTTCGTTGTAAATCCTTATTCTTATTTCCCATTATTCCTTCCCTATAGAAGTAACGGGAGAAGTTTTTTAAGTAACGAGAAAATTCTTATGAGATCATGTCCTTACGTTTAGTGACCACTCTGTTTTATAAAGCATTGCATATTAGAGGGAGAAATTTGATACTGATCACTCTTAGGGCTTCAGATTAATAACCTGAGTTTAAAACCATCAACTGACGTGATGCAACTCACATTGACTCTGACGATGACTACCACACAGGTTGTCGAAACGTAAGTCACTGTCAACAACAGTCCTATTCAGGACTACGTTCACCCGGACGATCATACTCAACCTACTTAGGGTTAAGTTAGCACGGAATCTCTTTCAGTGACACAAATATCCATTTAGGCTTAATTACCAGCCGATGTTCGGGAAATGAGCCCGCGTTCCTCCTCTCTCTTCTCGGGGAAGACCGAGACAGCGGCCAAAATCGAGCCTAATCATGATCCACTCAGTTACATAAAGAGAAACTTAAACAACAGTTTCAGTATTCTTTGATGAACTAGTCTAGCCGTGTGTCACTGCTGAAAAGTAACCACCTGCATACAGTGTATTTCCTGGGCAATGTACTAGGATAACATTTAAGAAGCCTATATAGGAAAGGCGCTACCTGGCTTTTGAGTGTTTCTCTATATCCCTCATAATTTCGCGACCAACGTGGAGATAAAACGGATGATGCGTCGCCTGTAATAAGTAAACAGATAATAAACGTGACGCAACGAAATCTCAAGGATGAGAGGATAACGGTGCAAATTTACGCCCTCTTCCAATTATAATAAACCGTCTAGGGACTGCGTCGCAAACATAGTAAAGCGCTGTTTAGAACGTATACCAATGCTATAGTCGATGCGTGGGCTAGCTTCAACGCAGGCTAAATATATCCAATGTAAAATCCTAAACGAAGCCAGCACGATCGTTGTTAGTAGTCAGCCAGGAGTTTGAAACTCTCTCATCCAACTTTCCTCTTTCTTGACGCCACTTTGGCTGTCCCCGCACAATTGTTGTTAGGGCCTCAATCTTCGCCGGGAGCTGGTATCTAATTTGCGCCTTACAAATTACGTGAATGGCTATGACCCCACTCCCCTTTCCTGTCAGACGTACTCTAAATTTGTAATTATTACTCGTTTATCAGTAAGGGGATGCCGATTAAGCAAGGGTCAAGTCTGATGTGGAAGGAGCGGCTTTAAGAGATTCAGCAGTAAAAATAAATAGCTAAGGTCTGCTATAACGACCGTCATAGTATTGTGCATGCACAGTTATTGGTAATACGAACCTGATGAAGGAGATAAGTGGATTCTACAAGCTCTGGTCTGACAGGGGAGAAGTGCACCTCAGACTGTTTAGTATGCCAGTTAAACCTTTCCGGCATTGCTTCGTGTTTCTTCCAGATAGCATAGTAAAGAGCATGAGTACAAATAGCTTCTGCGATGTCTCCTTTCAGCACCTAAAACAAGGCGTATTTATCATTTACGATCTATTTTCTGATCTGTTTTATGAAAACCGCCTTGCACATTTGCGTCTTGATAACATCGTATTACAGAAGGCAGCCTATCTTAAACGTTATCGCGCGGGACAGGTTCTAGTTTCTGGAGACTTTCCTTGGCCACTCTTGCAAAACGACCTACGTGTCTACTTCCCAATTCAAACCTCGGCTGAAACGATTTGTCTTAATACGACTTGTATCAAACCGGATTTTTATCGAAACGACCGGTAAGCCTAGCTTGCGTAGCAGGCCCTTGAAAGAAAGAAAAGGGCGCGCGACGGTGACAGGTGTCTCGCGCGCGCGCCGTGTCGTTGGGCTCATTAATTCCAAGCGTCTAGGTCGTTTTCATAGGATAACAAGGATCCTTATCATGTAGCACCAACGCTTGTGTTTGCGGCGCCAGTGAAAATCGTTTAGTCTCTTCACTAACCTGAACCCCAGCAAATGATGCAGACAACGCATCTATCCAAGTGTTCGCTGTTTCACCGCTGTTCATGTGCACATTTACGTACAAAGGTGTTGTTCCGTTGCCTTGATTGCATGTACGACGACTAATAAAAAGGAAAAGACAACGTTTCAATGTTTGACTTTTTCACGAGTCCACGAAACAGAGCTGGCTACTAATTTGACGACTTAAAATTCTTAAGGAATGAAGTTTTTCATCACGTTACCCTTTTCGTAGATATCTATTGAGAACTCTATAAATATCATTGAATCTCTTTAAATCATCTGGTTCTCCAAACATGATGTAGCCCTGCAATTAAACACAGTTCTCAAGCTGAGTTATTTTCAGCGATCAGAAAGCCATATGACAAGAAGCCTGCGTAGCAAGCGTTTCCTCGCGAGTTCGTCGAGAAAGCTATATGACAAGCCATGCACGCATTTGACCAACACCCAATTGGCTACCCGGTTACGTGTATATTTTGAAGGGCGTCCGCAAAAATTAAACTAAATTACAAGTCACCTTAAGAAGATATTCATAAAACGAGTCCAATCCTGCTCCTACTCCACTCATTTTTCCTGACCATTCTCCAGTCTCAACATTTATTATATTACCTGTAACAAGAAACCTTCAATATTATACTGTCATGCTGTTTTAAGAGGAAACCTGCTCACCTTCCTTCTGTTGCTTCTTTTCACTTTTGTTATACTATCCCAAGTATGATAATGGTTCAAATCTGGGCACGCCTTTTTGGGGAAGGAGGGGTAAGCGTTGATCATCTTGGTTGGCTATTATTTTGCCTTTGTTTCAATTTGGTAACTAGATGTGCAGGGGCGGATCTAGGGGGAGGGTGTAGGGGGTGCACACCCCCCCCCCGAGATGACCTGCGGTTTTCTAATACAACTGGTATTCTGCCAAAAAAAAAGCTATGTGGTTTATTGGTGTTGAAGTAGAGCAAGAGATGAGTGCACCCCCCCCCCCCTAAAAAAAAATCCTGGATCTGCCCCTGATGTAATTAACCTGCTGGTCAATTCAATGTGCCATTTAAAGGTCAATAGCTCACAACAAAACTCTGCTTTCATCAAGGGATCTAGTACATGAACTTGCTTAAACTTGTCTACTGCAATGAACCATAGCTCCTTACTAACCCTCAAAATATAACTACTGGTATACTTACCAAAAAGACCAGTTTTCACCGATCTGCGTTTCCACAAAGAAGCTAGAGATTTCCTGGCTAAAGCTTCAAAGGTTGGGTCTCCTAATAACCTGCTTAAGATTCCAAATTCCAATAAAACTGTTCCTGCGCCAGCAGTACAGGTCTCTTTGTGATGCATTGAAGGAAGACCACTAAATAAATTTACCTAAAAACAGAAATGAAAATGGTAATTATGTCAGGATTTACATAATAGAAAGAAACTTATACTCTACATCTTACACGAGAAGTGCTGAGAATACAGATTAGTCAAGAAATTAATGACCAAATTTGAAAAACAAGCAGTACCAGTGAATGTAACAGCAGTAAAATAGTAAACACCAAACTCATAGACACAACTGTAGATAAAGTGTGTGGTGAAATTTGGCACAATTTGTAGCTAGAATACTTGGGTGAGGGGTCACTCTCAAAATTATGTGTAAAATTTATGGGGGGGTCATTCCTAAAAAGCTAGGATGAATTGGGGAGTTGGTTTGAAAATCTTCTAAGCTTTCTCACAATGGTCACTGCAAATGCACCCCCACCCCTCCCTCACGGGTAATTATCCACCAGCCCCTGAAAAGAAGTGCCTTCATCCTGGACCACAGGTTCAAACTCCTAAACATTACATACCCCATTTTATGTTCCCAGAGCCCTGCAGTCTGATTCTTTGGGCTAGCACTTACTACGTTGCTTAGCAAAAGGAACACAGCTCTGGAAATGACAATATACATACCCTAGGATATGGAATTTGTGTGACTGATTGTTCAAATGCTGCCAGCAGCCTGTTTGCCATGTCATGGGCAAGAAGCAATAATTCATCATCATAATTTGTTGGTACCATGTCACCAAAAGGTTGTAAAGGATCCTTGATGATCAGATGGGCTGATAACAATGATCCTAGTGTAACGCCTTCCCAGTTGTTTTGTTTAACACGTGACCCGGTCAGATCCGGGGGTTTTTGTAAGCTCGACTAACAATGAACGTCGCCCAACGCAGTTCTTTAGGGCTTCGCACAAGCATGTTGTAATAGCCATTACAGTCTTTGACGGTCCCTTCGGTCCGTTAACATCTTGTGAACCAGCATTAAACGGAACTAAGGATCTTGTTAGACGTTTTGGTCATTGTGGAGTGAACCTTTCAGAATTTCTGCAACGCATGTTGCCCTCGCGCCGCCTTCACCCAAAAGCGGTCGCTACAGTCAAAGACTCGTATTTACCTCAAGGAACTTTGAAGACTCCTGTTTAATCTGAGGAACTCCAACGAATTGTATTTACGCCGAGGAACTTTACCATGGATTCAGCAAAATTCGATGATAAACACGAGGATACCGGACTCGGGCTAACCTTCGTGTCGAGACCAGAGGAATTTCTCATCGAGAAGAGCGCAAAAACACACCTCAAGCCCAGCTCACGAAGAAATCGTCGACTCAACAAAGACTGAGGTTAGCTCATCTGTTATTTTACCGGATAATGTGTCTTTACGTCCAAAAATAGAGGAAATTTCATCGATTACAAATGCCGACATTATTGTCGATTCGAGTAACACTAGGCCCAGGACCCTCACGGCCAAAGGGCGGGAATACAAATGTGGCTTGAAGAGAAGCGCTGCGATAGATAACGACCGTCAGTTTCGCTCTAAATTAGACACTTTTAAAGAGCAAATCCTCTCAGGCAAAGATCCTAAGGAAATTAAGGAAGATATTTCAGCTTTGATCAAGGAGTTAGACATTGTCTTACAAAGTTTTGACCAATGGATAGAGCTATCAGATGATTCGGATGAAACTCATCAGGCCACAAGTAAACAAGCTTATCTGCTTGACACATGGAAAGCAGTTCATGATACAGCCGTGAAAGAAATTGACAAATTACAAAATGATGCAGCCTCTATCACATCTCAAAGGTCCCACCGTTCACGAGTCTCGAAAGGGTCGGGATCAAGTAGAAGTTCTTGCAAGGAGACCCTGCTTGAATTTCGAGCTAAGAGAGCAGCCCTAGAAGAAACGTTGAAGTTTTCAGCAGTTATTGCCGAACAAAAACAGAAACTGGAACAGTTGAAAATACAAAAAGAACTTGGAGAAGTCACTGCACAAGAGCAAGTCTACCAAAAAGCAATGCAAGAAGAAAACTGTCTGCAGTCGCCTGCACTGCCGACAGAAACCTATGATCCAATTTCCACCTTTATTGCCAGCAATCAATAATGTGACGAATATACGTCTACACCGGGTGCGCCTGCTACAACGCTCTTTGACACTAGAACACCAGTGACTAAAGTGACAGTGACGTCATCGTCCACACCACTTGACGTTGTATCTGTATCTTTGAATCAAGGCCCTCAAGGATCAACCAATCGAATCTCACACTCTACCACTGCAACCACCTTCAGCTTAAGAGGACAAGCTCCTCCAGTTTACACATCGCCTGCGTGTACTATGTCCCATATTGGACTCGCACCTCCAAGAGGTTTTTGCGGAAATTTTCCAGCGTTTGTACCATCGTCATATACAGCCTACTCCCTGCACCCCAAGATTATTCAGTGCAACTAACTGACACCTAGCCAAGATCAGTCAGCTACAACGCCTCCCTCAAGCCACGCCAGATGTTTTTAAGGGTGATGAGACTGACAAGACTAAATTCTTCCTGTGGGAGAATTCTTTTGATAGTCTGATTGATTCAGCACCAGTGACAGCCCAACAGAAACTACACTTCTTGTACCAATATTTGGATGGCAAAGCCAAAAAGTGGTAGAGCAGCTTCAGTACTTAGTGCAGAACCCTGAAAGTGCGTATCAACAAGCCCGCACAATCCTCAAGGAACGTTTTGGCCACCCAGCAATAATCAGTACCAGTTTTCAGAAGAAATTAACAACCTGGCCAAAGGTGGGACCGAACGATGCAGCAGCCTTAGAAGAATTCAGTGACTTCCTTCAACAGGTGAAGATTGCAAGCGAACACATTTTGAGTCTCCAAGTCCTTAATTACCCGTCACAGATTCAAAGTCTTGTCGAAAAGCTGCCATCGTGGTTCAAGCCCAAATGGTCTGATAAAGTGCTGAAACTTCAGAAGAAAGAAGGCAAGGACACATTCCCTTCATTTGCAGACTTCGCTCAAGAAGTGCGTTACCACGCTGAGCGTGTCAACATACCTCAAATTGTTCAAGCTTCAGGTTCAAGTGGTACACCACAGACAGACCGTTTCAAACCTTTGAACCGCCAACCCGCCTGCGTCCTCCAGCTGTTAATCTGACCTCCACTTCACCCCCAGTAACAATGGCGAGACAAATGCTAATCACGAAGAACCAATAGAAATCTCCAATGTGCTTTCAACCCATGCTCAGCAACCGGACACTACCAAAGCTACTGCGGCTAACACGTATTGCTTCTATCACAAGATGAAGTCTCATAGCATGAACGATTGCGAACAGTTTCAGAAATTAGGATACGAAGAACGCAGAGATTTCCTAATGAAAAACAAAGTCTGTCTCAAGTGTGTTAATTCCAACAAACATGTTGCCAGAGACTGCGAACAAGACAGGCTAGATTGCAAGATATGTCGACAGAAACATGCCACTGTACTGCATGACCCATCCAGGCACAAAGTGATTAATGCCAGTGAAGCGAGGTCTGCTTGCTCACGAGTCTGCAATCAAGGGCATTCTGCTCGTTCATGCGCTAGAATAGTTCTCGTCGAAGTCTTCCATCAAGACAACCCTTCAGCAAGGATGCTGACCTATGCAGTTCTGGATGACCAGTCAACAGATGTCTTCATCACAGACACTCTTCTCGACCAGTTGCAGGTCAAAGGCCAGGAAGTTAACCTCAATATCAGTACGATTGCGGGCGTGAACACTGTGCGTACTCAGAAAGTAAACGGATTGCACATCAAGGACACAGACAGTCGACACAATTCTATTAGGATTCCGTTTGCATACTCACAAGAGAAAATTCCAGCTAGCCATCAGGACATCGCCACGCCTAACATTGCCCAACTCTGGCCGCACCTTAAGGAGATCGCCCACCACATCCACTATCATCCCGGAGTAGAGATAGGATTGTTAATCGGTCGTAACATCCCATCTGCCTTTCAGCCATTACACGTTATATACGGCAAAGACAATGAGCCGTGGGCTGAAGAGTACAAGTTCGGCTGGACGATCATCGGTCCAGTTTGTCTAGACAACCAACAAGACAGTACGGCTTGTGCAACAGTTAACCACATCACCGTACGACGAGAAGATTCTCACAACCTCTTCAATGTTCCAACGAGCAACAGTTCCAGAGAAGAGGCCGTAGCCTCTTTCGCTTCCAAACATCAATCTAAGGATGTCACTACGCCCCAGCAGATAAGAGAAATGATGCAATTGGATTACAGTGAACTACATCATAGCCGAACCATCCGAGGCACTGAGAACACCGAGTCTGTCGAGGACAGACGTTTCAATGATCTTCTTACCACAAGCATCCATACAAATGAACTGGGCAATTGGGAAATGCCGCTACCACTGAGGACAGACAAGTTGAGTCTGCCGAACAACCGAGAACAATGCCTAAACAGGCTACTAGGCATAAAAAGAAAACTTCTCAAGAATGGCAAGGTTTTGAAGCAATATACTGAGTTCATGCAGAAAATGTTTAACAAGAACCACGCCAGTCTCGTCCCATCAGATCAACTCAAGACTGCCACAGGAAAGGTGTGGTACTTGCCTCATTTTGACAAACCCCAAAATGCAAAAAATCGTTTTCGACTGGCAGTGCCATCTTCCACAACGAGTCTCTCAACAAACATCTGCTGCAGGGCCCTGACATGATGAATGCCCTCGTTGGTGTGCTCTCGCGGTTTCGAAAGGAAGAGACAGCAGTGATGATTGTTGTCAGGGTTATCATTAACAAAAACACTCCGTTAATAGTACATGTACGTGGTAGCTTGGGCACCAAGGGTGACTAATCTTAATGCTCTGGTCACTTAACTCCTGAATTAAACTACCCTTTCATGGTGCACCTGATCAAAACAAAAGGTTATCCAAGGGACTGAGTAAGGGACGGTATATTTCCTGGGCTGTAACCGAAGACAATGGATAAGGGTTCTGTTCAGGGACTACTGGAAAGAAGGCGAACATCTGTGTGTAAGGATCTCAGTGAAAATCCTTCCAGGTTGAGTAAAATTATATGCATCCCTGTTGAGAATTAGCGATTGAAAAGCCTTCAGCTCGGGATGATTCCCAGCCTAAGTAAGTAAGTAAGAAATAAGCTACATAATAATTTTCTCCTAGCCTGCACAGCAACCATTGAAAGGGGTAAGGGATAGGCAGGAAGGGAAAAATGAAGGGAGGGGGTTGAGGAGAGAAGGTAAAAAGGACTTAACTCTATCCTTTTGCACTTTTCTCCTTCTCCGCTCAACCCTCTTCATGCATCTGCCATGCAGGCTAATTCTCACCTTATTGTCGCTTCAAAAACTTGAACTGTATTATTCCTTTGAAATGATACAGAATCTATAACAAGCTGTACAGCTCTCTTGAATTCACTACTATTGCCCATTATCTATAAAAACAACAATAATATGGTAAAATTGCACACTGCTCATCCAATCTCATCATTAAGTTTCAGAAGTACATAAACGTGTACGCTAAGAGGGTTTCATACTTACTGCTAGAGTGCCAAGTGATTCTAACAATCCTAATGAATAGTCTCCTAAAACATCATTTATATTAATATTTGACCTAGGGGAAAAAGAAATTCAGTTATGCTCCATACCAATACATACACTGTATTAATTTTAGATCGGTTGAGATTTAGGACCTATTTCTGCTCAGTTGCTATGCCTTCAACAAAACCCAAAAAAATCCCAGGCCGAATTTCCAAGCCATAAATTTTTCCGGAGAAACTACACAGCCAGGATACACGGGAACTATCAAGAATCTTCAGATTGTTTTGAATATCCCAAAAATCCGTCCTCAAATTACGCTACCCCCAAAAAACTAGCCAAAATATTCCTACACAAAAAAATTGCGAAATCGAAAATTTCAAACTCAAAAAAATCCTTTGATCATCCCTGTGTACAGGTTTTTTGTTTGACTCTTTATTAAAGGTGGAAACTAGGTTCTGAGTTATCTCTTATGCACAGAATTTTTGAGCTGCAAGAAATGTGGGTAGGGGAAATAAATTAACTTGAACAACTCACTGATCTAAGAAAAAAAAGGAATGACCATTGGCAATACCCTAGGACACACCTATCCATGGGTCCCTACAGTGTGCATGAGGATTTGCTTCGTTTTACCGCCCATATAAGGGAATCCAAGATAGTCTTGTATTCTGAATTCCAAGGCATGGATTCTGGATTCTGGATTCCTGATACTGGATTCCGGATTCTTTGATGGTGGAACTTTCAATCCTTAGGGGGATCAGGATTCCTTGAGGTGTATTCCAGATTCCAAAGCCCAGGAGTCCAGACTCCACAAGAAAGATTTCTCAAATTCCAGTTTCCACAAGAAAAAATTTTCCGGATTCCATAATCCGGTTCCAGACGGCATGCATAGACATGATGACTGACAAAATAGCTTGCCAAACTTATTTTCTAACTAGTGGAAAGGGAATTTTGACATGCTTTATATGTTTACCAGGGTAGCCTGATCTTTTTTCCCAGTTATTAACCAGTAAATAACCTAATAAATTAATTTGCTAATAATAGAGCTCCAGCAGCTGTGCAAACAGTTTGCACAAAGAAGAAAGGACAGCATTGTCATTGCATTGTAAGAATGCTTAAATGAACAGTTAACTTAAAATAAACAGGCGGAACTACGAAAAGCATTTGCGTGTTCATACAACAACATGATTTTATAATCCTTCCGTCCTATAATATCAGTGAGTGACGATGAATCTCGGTCAATGATTCTCAACATCGCCATTCCATGCCCTCGAAATACCTTCAACCAACCACAGGGCAGTCAACAAAATATGTGTTAAAAATACTTACGGTGTGTCATAATCCGGCCCTCTTCCAGTACAATGAATGGGATCAAGTTCGTCTTTGGGAAAAGCGAAGTTCATGTAGTTGTCATACCCAAAATAAAACATTTGTTTGGCTTTCTCTCGCAGTTTAAGCCTCTCATTCTCCGAGAAATACCGATATTTGCCGCTAGAAACTCTTCTACAGCTACTCTGGGCTCCTGTGTAAGCTTCTACGCTTGTGAAAATTACAATACAAGCTGAAAAACTGACTAAAACCTGACACATTCTGGAATCATACCGCCGGAGGAAAATGAATGATCACTAAACGATCACCAACAATGTTTATGAATATGTCAATTGTTTCTTAACCAATCAAAGATCAGTACGCCAGAAGAAGTGATTGGAGCAATCGTTCCCGCGGTGACGCGCGAAAATGTAAATTTCAATTAAAAACTTTCATTCCTTTCTCTCTTCAAACAAAATTTTTACAATATTCTTTATGCTTTTCTGGTTATCGATTAAATTAACTGATTTTGTGTTAGTATATCTATATAAATGTGGCTCCTAATCTATCATGCTAGATGGAATTGAAATTTCGAAATGCTGGTTTCTGAGGGGAGGGGAAATAAAGCCGGAGTACGACCCAGAGTACTAGGAGAAAAACCCCTCGAAGCAAGGTCATCAAGAACCAACAAATAACAATTAACTTAACTCACATATGCCCCTAAAAGAAGGCCACGATTCTAAGGAGGAGGGCGTAGAATGGCTTCTGCTTATAAGCAATTGAGAATTTGAATACTTGAGCCGTTTGTGAAATGTTTCTCTCAAAGGAAGGGATGCTAGCCTTTGTACAGCCGACCCCTCCCATCAAGGGGGTGGCTGTCCTTAGGCTAGAAGGGGTGCATGAAATAGCCCACCATGAGTGACATTTGTTTGATCAAATGTCAGATTCTGGCTCACTCCAAATTGTTTTGCATTTACTTGAAAAACAGAAGGAGAATTTAGCTTATGTGAATCTCACTTGGGGCCCTACCCGGGGGGGGGGGGGGCACTTGGATAATTTTTGGGTGGGTATGTGCCGCCCGGGACTCTAAATTGGCACCCCGTTCTAAAAAAAATTTCCCCTAAAATTGATACCCCGTTATAGAAATGAGCCAATTTTTTATACCCCGTTCTAGAATTCGCCCTAAAACTGATACCCCGTTCTAGAAATGGGCCAGTTGCTTATACTCCGTTCTAGAAAGTTTGTAAATTGAAAAAGCCCTGTTTTTTAAGAGATATTTCTTTCCTTGTTCGACTTATACATCAAATAAATGCTTCTTCATAATCAGCAACAATTTTAAGCAGAAGATAAAGCCGTGATCCACAATTTTTTATACCCCGTTCTAGAAAACGCCCCTGAAATGGATACCCCGTTCTAAATCAGGAGCTTCAAAATCACGACCCCGTTGGGCGGCACATACCCGTATAGGTAATGTATGGGAGTGCCCCCCCGGGGGGCCCTACACCGCACACCCCTTCATAATGTGACTTTTATAGTATACATATTACAGGTCAAAATTATATTCCGGTTAAATTTTTTTAATCTAGGTTGATTCTTTATTTTCTTTGTCTCCTAGCCCTTGTTGTTCAAAAATAAACCTAGGTTCAAAATGGTAACCTCAACTTAATTTTGACCTGTAGCATACATGTTGTTTATCAGGAGAGAAGTTTTGCATGGCAGTAAAAATTAAGCAAGCAACGATGGATGTAAGCCCTGCAGGAACACATTATACCAACAGCAACCTAATAAGCCTGACAGGAAGTGGGATAGGTGGGGGATAACTGGTTGCTGGTTGAAGTACTGTATAAAACTTCAAATAAAAAACATGTACGTTTATGTATGTATGTTTAGTACTGTTACCAGCTCTGGGAAAATGTGAGTAGTTTTAGTTTTCAGTGAAGCATTTAACTTCTAGATCAGAGGTAGAGCCTTCAATAACTGGAAATATAAGTAAATAGAGAGATTTTGTCATCTGAATAATAGGGCAGCTATGATGTAGCTGAACAGGGTGCAAAGAAAGTCATGTCCAATAGCCCAGGGCTAGTGGATTTTGCTATGGGGCTAGTGATTTTTGTTGTTAGCTTGCCCAATGGGCAAGTGCTGTTTTTTGAGGAAATTCAAACTACAGAAGGATTGTAATCAATCCTGCTAATCAAAAAGGGTCTCAGGGCTAATTGAAATGACTTGTGAGCTAGTACATACCAGCTACAGCTTGCCTGCCCAACAGGCTGTAAAACTGACTTTCATTGCACCCTCCTTAAGGATCCACTGGACAAGAGAATTATTTGTGATCAATCAAGTCATACCTAAATTGTCAATTTTATTTTCTATGGGTGCACTGCATAACAAATGCTATAAGTGTCATAAAATGCTTCTTACATTGTCCCATAAAATACTGCCTACTATCATCTTGTTGAAATCTACCCCACTAGTGTTCTTCTAGATCACATTTTGCTTATAACCCGCTCACAGTGTTCTTTTTATGTCTTTTCTTCACTAATCCTTTCAATGTTAACATAAGAACTATTCATCAATTTATTCATGTCATCAAGTTATATCAAGAACAGAAGGAACTGTTGCATCATAAAAAAAATGTAATGAGCTTGAGTGGTATAAATAATAAAAAATTATATTATTTAACCCCAAGGTAAGATAAAATTAACGTAGATAAATGCCAATAATTAAAAGTTAATGGAGCTCACTTCACAGTGAGGGTTTAAAAATAAGAAAATTATGGCAACAATTTTGAGTATAATTAACTTTTCTTGAATTCCTACCCAAGCACTAAGACTGATGAAGGTTTATTTGACATTAATTTATACAAAAAGATGTATAATACTGTACACATAAAATTACTTGTTAAATAATAATGACAAAAAACAACAATACCAAACACTGTCAGAAAACATTTCACTTGTAATGTTTTACACTTGGCCCTTCATTTACATTACTGGTAAATAATAATATTTAAAAATGGTTAATACTTTACTTAAGTATTTCATTAAAACCTAACTTCCTTAACAAACCATCAAACCTATATCCCTCAAACTACTATTCAATGTAAGTTCAATTCTCCTGAAACTTTTTCCCATAACCTGCTTAAAATGGCGGTAATAGCATGGAGAGGAGAACACGGTTGAAAAAATTAGAGGGAACTGACAAGTTGGGGAGCCACAGAAAAAATTCCTTCTCTCTTCCATTTTTATTCATTTTTTTTTCAGTCTGCTCTTCACTTCGCGCCACTCCTTATCTTACCCTTTCCAGTTCTGAGCCCGTGAAGTTCAGGGTGTCTGGCAATTTTGTTTAAAGTAAATTAGATTTCCTTGTTCACCCAAAAGTGAATTAAAATCATAACAGGCCACTACTGCTGCAAGAGCAATTACTAGCCCAATGATTATTTAAAGTTACTTTGTTACTGCCAAACTGAGAAAACCGTGAACACCAGAAAAATTTCAGGAATGTTGATTGTGTACTGGCCAATCACAATAAAGTTCAGGATAGGCAAGCAGACCTCAAAACCACAAATTAATTACTGTTGTTGTTTATGGTTTAGTTATCTCACCCTTATTGGCTTAGTTTTTGCAACACAATAACATTCCATAAATATTTCTGGTGTTCACGGTTTTGTGAGTTTCACAGTAAAACCATGAATCTATATGATTTTAATTAAAAGCGGAAAATTATTTGCAAATTCATGGCACTCTCTGGCTTAACCATGACAGTATGTCATTTATGACAAGTGCAGCATCTTCCTTTGGCTCATTTAAAAGCTTGTGATAAAAACCAGGGTAAATCTGTGAGGTAATAAAAACATAAAATTTAATAGTTTTTTATAGTTTTCAAAGATGCAGTGTCACATCCAGGGGAGGGACCCAGGGGGCCTGCCCCCTCCCCCTCCCTGACTTATTTTTAGACCAAACTGAGGCCCGAGGGGCCGAAAAAAATTTTTTGGAGACCGGTCCCCCCACTTATCTCTGGGTGTGGATGAAAATTGAATGGTTGTCGGCGGAGGCTACTTTTCACACAAGAGCTCACACAGCGAAAATGTAGCCTCTGCTCCCAGAGGACTGTGATCAAAGGGCCCAGTCAAAAATTACTCTGGTTCCATGTGAATGTAGCCTTTAAGTCTGTGAGTCAGGTATTAGGAGTGTCATCAGAATACATAAAAACCACTTTATTTAAGACAAATTAGTAATCATTTTACCATTACCTTTATAGTCTTATCTTTGCTTGCTGCCTTTTGTTCCAGCATCGTTGATCCTTCAACCATTGTAAGCTGGTCAGCATCACCATGACACACTAAAAATGGCCATTCAATCCTAGGTAAATTGTGTTTCACTTTTTCCATCGCATCATACATGGACATTGCCCACTTGGCTTTCAAGCCACCTTTCCATCCTAAAGGATCCATACTTAAAGTTGCAACCTTTCGAAAACAAAAATGGAAAGAGGAAGTTACATAATAAGATATACATGTTATGAATATTTCATTTCCCACTGGACTTACATGTATAGTGTACTCTTTCAGCCTACGTGTCACCACACCCTTTACCAAAAAAGGAAAAACAGCACTTTTTTTCCTTTCTCCAGGGATTGTGTGACTTCATGTAGAGTAGGTCTAAGTTTGAGCAAAATGAGATGTGTTCCCGAAAAAAAATCAGAGTCGTAAACATTTACTGCAAGATTCATCTTCCAAATTGCCTTGTAATTTTTTACAATCTATAATCTACAGTCCTGTCTGAATACAATAATATTAATATTATTATTATTATTATTATTAATATTTAAATATCCATACAGTGACTCCGTTTTATGATGAAAGGGGAAAAAAATATATTGTTCTGAGCACTTTTATTCTAGAATATGATCAATCAAATGTAGCCTTAAGAATTCCAATCACAAACTTTGAACATATTTTCTTGTTTTTTTTTTTTTTTTTCACAGAATGATGAACATGATGGTCTTACCTGGTCAGGATCCCGGCTAAGCGCAGAGTGATTCTCAGATCCAACTACTTGATATGAGGGTGCGATATGTGACACTATCTTCCCTAAAAATATCTGATAAATACAAGATAAATTAATAATACCTTGTCTTCACCCACATTTACAATTTCTTAAAATAATCACGACCAGTCATGTCCAGTACTGCCGCACTGTTACAGATCATTAAGAGCAGTTCACAGTTCGTACACTCTGTACAAACAGAAAGAATTAACCAGAAAAATTAAAGGTGAAGGGAGAAAGATTCAAGCACTGATAACAGATCACATCAAAAGGAACAGAACAGCTTTTATGCAGTGCAGCCATGCATGGTGGTAGGCCAGGTATGAGAGCAGGGTCGTATCCCTTCCATTGGGGGAGTCTGGAGGAATCCTCCATCAAAATTGTAATTTTGAGGCCCCAAAAAGTGCGTGTGGAGCAACTATAATAACCCACAGCTTTGTTTCATATGTTTCTTGTTGTCAATCAGGAGTTTTGAGGAACAAATACCATGGATTCATTATCCCACTTAAAAAATTATCATTTTCTGTGAGTAGCTGGTACAGCTGTGATTTTCTTTAGGAGACATTCCAGAGAACCCTTATTCAATTAAGAGAGACTTACCATGCAGGGTGTGGCAGTTTCTGGATTAGCCAAAATTGCAGGAGCACATAGTACAGTTCCTGTGAAGAAATGTGGTCTTTCCATAGCGCACAGGATTGCAATGGTGCCTCCCTAAAGAAAACAGGGTTTTATACCGGTAAGTAAAAGATACTAAGCTGTCATTAAAGGGCAGTGAATACATAACACCACTCACAGATGAACTTGCTTGATGTTCTGAGTGCAAGTTGGGGAATGCATACTGGCACTGCAAATATAATGTTATGGGTGACCATTCACAGCTGTAAATGTAACTGCTTTTAAAAAATAACAAAATCCAGCCTTGATCATGTACCAATCAATCCTTACACTTTTATGGACTGAAGTAGAGGGAAAAGGTGACTGTTACTTAACTTACATGTGTAACATTTTTACAAATAATCAACTATAAATAAAATAAATGTACTTGCCATGGAGTGACCAAACAAAAAGATGGGTAATCCAGCATTGTTCAGTAACACCTCATCAATGTGCTTTAACACATCAGCGACATAAATACTGAAGGAAGAAATCTGTACACGTTCACCTTCACTTCTGCCATGACCCACTTAAAAGCAAACAAAGATGTGAAACACTTATATAAACCTTTATGGACTTCAAGGCTATCTTGAACCTGGTAGTTTTAAAAGTGGAAAAGAAAAATAGGGAAAAGGAAAATGGGGAGAAGAAAGTAGGAAAATGGAAAGGGTACGAAAATGGAAAGAAAGAGAGAAATAGGGTGGTAAGAAAATGGAACTGAAAATGTGATAATGGGAAGAAAGGGATGAAACAAGAAGAAGGACAGAAGGATGAAAGGAATGGAGTAAAACAGAAGGATGAAGAGGAAATGGAAGGAGAATGAGAGGAAAGATGAAGCCAGTGAAAGTAAGAAAAAAAGACAATGGAAGAAAGAATAGCAAACCACAAACCAAGAAGTATTCTGACAAAGGAAAAGAAATATACAACTTTACATTTAAGAGAAGCAGTAGGAAAGAACAGAAAAAAGATCAAAACAGGTGAGTAAAATATGAAGAGAAAATAAGAAGAAACCTGGTGAAGGGAGATGGAGACGTAGACAAATGAAAAGAAAAGGGGGAACAAACTGAAATAGTTAGGGCTGGAATGAAACAGAAACAAGACAGTCATATCAGTATTAACTAAAAAGCTGACAAAATTTACCATGATCATGTGAAACAACAAGGAATCCTTGCTTAGCTAACACTTGCGCAAATTCCTCATATCTTGAACAGTGCTCTCCAACTCCATGATTCACAAATATCAATGCACTAGATTACATCAAAACCAACATGTTAGTGTGAAAATAAGAAAGAGGAATAATAACTTAAATATTAAGCACATTATATATACCTACATAGTAAGAGAGGATAAGCCTTTTTTTTCATTTTTTTTTTACAAGCTTTTGCCTCGCTTCAATTTGTTAGGAGATATATATGTGACAAACAGGCTTAAATGTCAAAGTCTTTTTTTCTTTTTTATGGCATCATAGAAACTGAGGATCAAAGCCGCGACCACGATTTTTAGAACAGACCTTTGGAGCCAACGAGTTCAGCGCCTGCTAATTTCTTACCACCAGAAACTGCACTCGACAGCCCTTAGGAAGAGAATGAGGGTGTGGATCGTGGAGGGAGCACAGTAAGCGAATCCGATCTACAAGGACACTCGGCAGTTTACCTACCGAGGTTGCGTGTCTCTTAATTTCCAACATTTGGAGAACAATTTGAGGCCCTTGGAACTTTCCACTGAGCCTTCTTCAGATAAAACTTCGACTTCCATTCAGAAAATCAGTCACCCACGCAAATGTCATCCGTCCGCCATTTTCTGCCCATAGATAAATGGAAAACGGAGGACTGGACCCAATGTAACGGTAACGCAATATGTCGCTCCATGTCACGCTACTCCATCTACTACTTTACTCTTTGCAAGGTATAGCGGTTAAATAAAATTAAATGTAAAGCCACTTGGTGCTGTTTTCTGTCTTTTTTGTGAAGTTCAATTGACAGTTAACACCATCCTGACCTGATTTTTTTCTCAATAATATGCATGGCAAGGACAAGATTTTGGGTAACCATAGATTCTCTGGCCGGGGGGGTGTGGGGGTGGGGGGGGGAAGGGCGGGGTGTACTCCTTAAATGGCCCATATGGGGAGGCTCTGCTTGAAAAGAGTACCTTTTTCAGGCCTGAGGTATATAAAAGGGTGGGGGTTTCACTAGCTGAAGTATATGGTAGGGTAGGGAAATCAGTGTGGTCTGCAAAAGGATCTAATAGGGCTAACAGGGACATAAAGAAGAAAAGAAAAACTTTAGTTTAGATTTATTGATTTATTCATATTTAAAAGAATGTGTATTCACAGCAGTTAAAAGCGAAGAAACATTCTAAACTAATATGTGAAAGGGGTACCATACAACAAGGGGTATCAGAAAGGGGTACCTTTTCAGTCCCCGTATAAAATTTTATTGAGTCCCCCCCTCGGGATAAACTCTTTAAAAAGGCCTATTATACTTCAAACTTACATAGCACCATCCAGTTCTGACTTTTGGCAGTCACCATAAGGGATAGCTCTCACAGGGGGTGGGATGGGGGGTCATGGGCACCCCCAGATCCCCTAGCTATACCCCTACCCCTTCAGAGAAAGCTGTTTCCAATATTTCTTTATAATAATTATTATATACTTTATATTTACAAACGCAGAATTAAATAAGTAGCTTTTCATGAAAGTTTCTCAATTGCATTTTCTAGCCACACACAAGCCTCTGCAAAGTTTTCATCCTGAACTGATTGGCAGAATTCCAGCAAGGCTTGGTATCGTTTCCTTATGTCAAATCCAAGACAGGACTTCAACTTGTTAAGGCAAACAGGACATGTGAACATTGGCCGTCTGTTAGATTCCTCTAGATGGTTACTGCCATTCATAGCACAAGAGAAGTAAACACAGTGTTTCAGGCAAAATAAATGGCTTATTTCATGAGTCATCACCTTTAGAACAAAAAATAGAACAGTCTGAGTTTAATTTAACCCTTTAAGTCCCACAAGTGACCAACATCAATTTTCTCCCAACAATATCCATACCTCATCAAGAGAAATCCTTGTGAGAATTAATAAAATGATCACCAATGGGAAATGATGTTTCGATCTTTTATTAAATTCTCTCAACTTATTTTTTTAATGAAATGTATGGGGACCAGTCTGGAGAATTTGCACGTGGATCTTCTACTGAACATCCTACAGAGGATGTGCAGGGTGAGAAAGCACTGATTTTTGTGACTGAATCCCTGATGAAGACAGGATTTCATTTTGAACAGAGTTACTTGTAAGACTGAGGTTGAAGAGCCTTAAATGGACCATCTCTTTCGGAAAATAAGCAGGTTAAAAAGGACAATTATTATTCCATTACAAAATGGCTATTAATGAACGGAAATTTTCAGATAAGTAACTCAAATGAGATCTATAATGTGAGGGAAGATTCTTGAGTCATCTTTGGTCTTTGACCACTGAACAGACCAATGGGTTTGGGTCTCTAAAAGTCCACTTTTTTGGTCTGTAACAGACAGCAAAAGTTGTCCCCTGTAACTTCTGCCCCTCGACAGTAGATTAAGGAAATATAAACAACTTCCAGGAAAATGATGAACTACCTTACAACTACGCCACAGTACTAGAGTACTTGTGCAAGGTGATTTATTAGCAACAGAATGATGTTCGTGGAAAAGTGGATCATATCTCGCAAAGCTGAACACACCAACGCCAGCACCAGGATTTGCCTGGCCAAAGACAAAGTTCCAGCTTTCATTTGGATACAGATCAATCATGGTGATTCCAACAACACAGAATGCCCCTCGAGGCCATTTTGATTGCAAGTATTTGTACACATCGGGGATAAAAAGCTGCAAATGGCCACAATGCCTACGAGTTTTACATTTGAGCTTGTTTATAGAGACTGAGGGCAGAACCACAACTTGATAACCTGTAAAATAAAATATATTACTGAACGCTGGTTCACAATAGCAAAAGTCACATGTGGAGTTGTAAGAGCACTTCTGACCTAGTGAAAATAAGACATCGAAGTCATAAGTACAGCGAAGTCGACATTGTGAGAATCAGGAACATTTCCAAATTTTCGTCCGACTCCGCTTAGGACTCCATTGCTTACTGCACTTTGCGAAACAAAACCAAGCCGCTTACAATGTGGTAAAAACAAGATCGTTGAAGGCCATAAACCGGTCACGGTGCCTTATGATTGGTTTATTAGTCCTTCCATTTCTGCTCGCTCAACAACCTACAGTACTTCTCCCTGGATGGTCAGTGACAGCTAGGGTCATAAGCAGAATCAGAAAGTTGTCTTTACTACAACCTCACGCTCTACGCTTCTGATTACAACTCTGACTCCGGCTTACTTGTAAAACCAAGCCTGGCCTGGTCCTACTTTTACAATCATTAAAGAGCTCAAGCCTAGCCTGTGTACAGACGTCCCCCCTCCCTCAGGAAAATATCGGGAGAGGAGACGTCATTTTTCCTGAGGGAGGGCGGACGTCTGTACACAGGCGACTCAAGCCAGCATTTGAATTCAGGAAAACCGGAGCAGAGGCATTTTTCTCGGGAAAAAAATGTAAACAATACTGAAGAGTTCTTGCAAGCCAATTTCGGTCGTCAGATCAACAAACCTCACCAGTAAAGAAAGCAGCTGCAAAACGTTGAAGCAAGGACAAGAAACTTTCTTTTCTGGTGCTCTTATCAATGTCTACTTCAGACTCCGTCCATTCATCGCCTAGAGGTACAAGACATATTTTGTTGTTTTGACTGGCTGCTGTAACGACGGATTGAAATTTCCGCGACCAAGCTGCGTGTGACTGTTGCGTTTCCGTGTGTGAAGAAAGCCAGGCATCTTCGTCCGGAGTAGGCAGCGGAGGGAAGAGCTTCTTGTCTTTGATCCCCTCGGTTAGAAAGGCTTTTTCTTTCTTTGACAGCTGCTGTAAGTTGCCAAGGTCGCGAACTGTGGTGGTTATAAATGATGACGATGATGACGATGATGATGGCGATGCGGTCGCCATATTGAAACCACCGAAACCACAGGTAACCCAAGCTCACGTTACGATTAGAGAGTCAGTAACAGGCGACCATGAGAACCCGGTATGTGAAGTAAAATACTGAGGTCTGCGAAAGCTAAAGATCATTATATTTTACCTTTTCCTCTTTAAACTAAATAAAGGAGTCTTTGATGTATTCCTGTGTTTTTTGGTGTGAGTCATCGACTTACTCGTTTCGATTTTTGGCTGTTATTTGTACTAAGTTAAGGTGGCTCGTACCAGTTTCCCTCTTTTTACCACCGCCCCCCCCGCGAATTGATCTCCTTGTATATATATACTAGGGTATCTAAAAGATAGTAATGCTGCGGCACATTCTGTTGATACTGGCATTAGTTAGGCAGTGAGACTTAAAAGAATCAAAAATGACATTGAATGTCCTATTTACATGTTGGAAAGTACTAGAATAATTACTATCAGTCTATAGAAAGAACTCGTGGGAACGTTGTTTAGAAAATGATCAAGTGGTTATCAACTCTGGTTTTCCCACAGTAAATTGTAGGAAATAATAGAAATTCAGATCGTTTATCCATATATTTAATATACGGTGCACGATATTTTCTCTGGAAACACAATACTTTTCTTGCTGTTTGTTGCACTTTATTAAGTAACAGTTATTTAGCTATATATTTTTAGAATACAACAACACAAAAAACGGGGAAAAAAGAAAGAAGGAATAAATAACTCAGTAGAGACTGATTACGTAGTATCTAGGAAAAGTCTTTCATTTTATTCCTTTTCCATGAAACTTCCGCCGGCAAGATGATCGCCAGCCGCATTAACCGAGCTATTAACAGTGAAAAAACAATGTAAACGCATATTCCATGGCAATAAATGAATGAAAGAACATAATTATGCTTTTCAAAACGCCGATACTCGTCCTCGTCCGCAAAGTAGGACACAAAACATATGTTTTGTTATCTCGATTTCCGCTGTTATTTTGAAGCGAATGGTCAAAATCACATCCATTTTCGGCTCATACAGTTTCTTAAGAATAGATTGCATGACATTTTCTCACTTTCACATCACCTTCTAGCAAGCTGGAATTTGTATATCCCCCGTGTTGCGGAGTCGAAGAGCAAAAAAGACTCTTGAGTCAAAAAAGGCCCTTGAATTGAAATCCAATCCCCAAGTTAACCATCGTAATCATCTGAAAGACTCCTGCGTGTCTTAAAATTTGGTAAGACCTCTAATCGTGCTGTAGAAAATTTGCCACAAAGAAAACTCTAAGTCTGAGCAGCGAACGATGCACTCTCTCACCCACCGAACTTCCCTGTGTTTTTATTTGAGTTGTTCGTGGCGCAATGCACTCTGGTTAAATGCAATGCATTGTGGTAAAAAGTGATGAATTCGAGAATTCGTCGCCCCTTATTGCTGCGGAGCGACCGAAGGGAGCGAGCAGCAACATAATCAGGATTTAAAGGAAATATACTAGGGTATCTAAAAGATAGTAATGCTGCGGCACATTCTGTTGATACTGGCATTAGTTAGGCAGTGAGACTTAAAAGAATCAAAAATGACATTGACTGTCCTATTTACATGTTGGAAAGTACTAGAATAATTACTATCAGTCTATAGAAAGAACTCGTGGGAACGTTGTTTAGAAAATGATCAAGTGGTTATCAACTCTGGTTTTCCCACAGTAGGAAATAATAGAAATTCAGATTGTTTATCCATATATTTAGTATACAGTGCACGATATTTTCTCTCGAAACACAATACTTTTCTTGCTGTTTGTTGCACTTTATTAAGTAACAGTTATTTAGCTATATATTTATAGAAAACAACAACTCAAAGAAACGGAAAAAAAAAGAAAGTAGTAATAAATAATTCGGTGGGACTCGAACCGGCAGCACCTTCGACTCGACGCGACTACACCTATCCACTACACCGCAGAGGCTGATTGCGTAATCTGTAGTAAAAGTCTATCATTTTATTCCTTTTCCATGAAACTTCCGCCGGCAAGATGATCGCCGGCCGCATTAACCGAGCTATTAACAGTGAAAAAACAATCTAAACGCATCTTCCATGGCAATGAATGAATGAAAGAACATAATTATGCTTTTCAAAACGCCGATACACGTGCTCGTCTGCAAAGTAGGACACAAAACATATGTTTTGTTATCTCGAATCATTTCCGCTGTTACTTTGAAGCAAATGGTCAAAATCACATCCATTTTCGGCTCATGCAGTTTCTTAAGAATAGCATTGCATGACATTTTCTCACTTTCACATCACCTTCTAGCAAGCTGGAATTTGTATATCCCCCGTGTTGCGGAGTCGAAGGGCAACTGCTCATCTTCTCGTCAAGTTTAACACCTGGACGAGTCAAAGGCTCTTGAATTGAAATCCAATCCCCAAGTTAACCATCTCAAAGACTCCTGCGTGTCTTAAAATTCGGTAAGACCTCTAACCGTGCTGTGGAAAATTTGCCACAAAGAAAACTCTAAGTCTAAGCAGCGAACGATGCACTCTAACCCACCGAACTTCCCCGTGTTTTTATTTGAGTTGTTCGTGGCGCAATGCACTCTGGTTAAATGCAATGCATTGTGGTAAAAAGTGTGGTTAAATGCAATGCATTGTGGTAAAAAGTGATGAATTTGAGAATTCGTCTCCCCTCATTGCTGCGGAGCGACCGAAGGGAGCGAGCAGCAACATAATCAGGATTTAAAGGAAATATATTAGGGGCGATGAATTCTCGAATTCATCACTTTTTACCACAATGCATTGCATTTAACCACACTTTTTACCACAATGCATTGCATTTAACCAGAGTGCATTGCGCCACGAACAACTCAAATAAAAACACGGGGAAGTTCGGTGGGTGAGAGAGTGCATCGTTCGCTGCTCAGACTTAGAGTTTTCTTTGTGGCAAATTTTCTACAGCACGGTTAGAGGTCTTACCAGCTAATCCGACTTAATCCCATTTAATATGTCGCTCTCCTCGAAAGTGCGAAAATTTTCTTGTCGTGTATTAGATTTCAGATACATTTTCTTAATCTTCATTTCGCGCCAGAATAAATTAGTTTGCGCGCAAAGGGCTCCTAAAAAAATCACAAGGTTTGTCCCACTTCGAGTCCACCTTCTGGAGATACGCCGGCTTGGTAGCTGGAATACATTGCCGAGGCGAAGATCTGGCATTTTTTCCTCCTCGTCGTATTTTCTTCACGACAAATGTTTATATTTGTTGTGAGAATGCAGCGCATATCGGTGGATTTTACTTCATGTGGCTTGCTATTTCTGAAAGAAGAGTGCTGGATTTCATCGTTTTGTTCATGTTTATTAGTGTTGGCAAATGTAAGGTAAATGAACCGACCACTGTAAGGTAAGAATTGAAGTTTTAAATTTGTTACTCGGCGAAAAATAGTGGAATTGGAATTCGTGAAACTCGTGAGTATTACCTCTGTTACCTAATGTCATGCGATGACCCCTCGCTTTTTCGATGCGTAACACGGATACAAGCGATAAATTTCTTTCGCAAAATGAAGTATAATTTACTTAACAAGACCATTTGACGAATATTTCTGGTTATATGCTTTATTCATATTTGCTTGGCTTATTCAGGCTACATGCCAGGAAATTGATGACAATGTTTGTGTGCTATAATTATGCTGATAAGTTTTTGCACCTTTATATTGAAACTCATGTAAGCCAAACGTTTGTTAACTCTAGCAAAACACTCTTCTTCACTCGTCTTTCGGGGCCCTAATATGGTGTCAAATTTTTAGGGGAAACAAAGCTTGATTTTTGGCCAAACAGACTATAGCATTTTTGTCTTTAAAGAGAGCGCGAGGCAAACGTCCGTGAGTACAGTGTAAGCCAGTGATTCTTTAGGTAGAGCTAACAAACATAGGCTGCACTTTAGGTGGCACACCCATGGGTGCAGTGTAACCAAGTGATTCTTTAGGTAGAGCTAACAAACATAGGCTGCACTTTAGGTGGCACACCCATGGGTGCAGTGTAACCCAGTGATTCTTTAGGCAGAGCTAACAAACATAGGCTGCACTTTAGGTGGCACACCCATGGGTGCAGTGTAACCAAGTGATTCTTTAGGTATAGCTAACAAACATAGGCTGCACCTTAGGTGGCACACCCATGGGTGCAGTGTAACCCTGTAATTCTTTAGGCGGAGCTAACAAACATAGGCTGCACCTTAGGTGGCACACCCATGGGTGCAGTGTAACCCAGTGATTCTTTAGGTAGAGCTAACAAACATAGGCTGCACTTTAGGTGGCACACCCATGGGTGCAGTGTAACCAAGTGATTCTTTAGGTAGAGCTAACAAACATAGGCTGCACTTTAGGTGGCACACCCTTGGGTGCAGTGTAACCCAATGATTCTTTAGGCAGAGCTTACAAACATAGACTATACAGGTGTACATCAGATGGTAACAAGTTTTCCAGTTAAAACTTTGTCATAAAGTGCCACACCATGGCACTTCGACTATTTCATTATCGCGCTTGTTTTGACGCACAATTGATAGTCAGGAGAAGTCGTATTGTCTAAAACCATAGCAAAAGACAAATTTACACACATCACAGCGTTAAGGTAAGGTAATACACGGTATTTCCTTCAGGTACATTTACATTTTCTGTTAGGTTATAAGCGATTAAATCGCATGCAGCGACGAACAAAACGCGAAGCCGTCAAATATTCTAGAACTGTGTTATTTACAGTTCTGTGCATTATTATTGCTTAACTAACTAACTACGAGCTGATGGAAATAAGTTTCGGCCGCTTTAAATTTTAAAACAATTCACTGGTACTGTATAGTGATAATTGGAGCGAAAAGTTAGCACGCGAGCAGGGCGATTCTGCTGTGGTTTCTGTAATGTAGAAGATATTACGGCAATGAGGCTCCCGAGGTCCGTTCTGGAAATCACAACTACATGTAGGATGAAATGTATTCTACGTGCAGATGTCTCCTTTTCCAGGTTAGGCTAAATAAACCCGTACCAACTATTTGTTTCACAAAGCTCCCGCGAGACGG